ACAGTACCGACAATATCCAATTGCAGTACTTTATCAAATCTCATAGCAATAAATAAATAAAGTTTTATATTAATTTTGCATTACTCTTCTTATGATATTTTATTAGAATTAATCAACAAAGCAATATTTCTACCAAATTTATTACTTTCTTTTTATTCATTTTTATTAATTTTTGTTGACCGAAAATATTTTGTATTTCGCGTTAAAAAGAATTAATCAAAACACAGAATAAAGCATTGCTTTTAGTGAGTGTTAGACATTGTAGGCCTAACTAACTAAAAGCAATTTGGTCTATTATCGAAAAGCCATTCACAAATGAAATTTAAGATACTCCTTCAACAAGTAGTCAATAAGTAGATGGCTCACAAAAGAAAAGAAAATAAGATTACTACTTATACACTTGAAGAATTTGTCTTAACAACTAAATGCATCAGAAAATCACCTTAATTTAATTTAAATATAATTAAAGATTTTCAAATGTTTTCTCTAGCAATAATTTTTTTGAATGTAAAAATAGACAAAACGATGAGAAAAAAAATGAATGAAAATTTGTATTTTTCATAGATACAAAATAATAAAATCGTTAGTTATTATTGTAAATGATGCATAAAAATAAGAATTCACATAACTGTTGGCTTACTAAAAGTAGAAGTATATAATTCAACAAAATATTACAATGATAATTCAATTAACATAATTTTTCCGAAATTATCATTTCATCCTTTTTTGTCTTTGTGGGTTAAAAACAAAAAAACAATGAAAAAAATGACAACAAATAACTGAATAAAACATTGGTGACATAATTAAATGAGAGCAGTGAACTACATTAGCTACATTAGATATGCTGCTATTAGATAATGAAAAAAACTTCCGAAGTATGTATAATATCATCGTGCAGTATTCCAAATAAATAAAATAGTAAAAAGTAAAAATCTATGGAAATAAAAATAGATGATAAAAAATTACTCTGCAGTGCTTAAATGACATAATCGAATGAATAATTTTGATCTACAGTAGACACTATTCTAAGGTATACGGTATTGTCCTACAGTATCACGGATTGTTTACTAAAAATGTAGCAAATATATAATCCAATGAATATATTATTTCTTTTTTGTTTAGTTTTGCATACTATTGCATCCATCAATAGTATCCAAATTTAAACAGGAAAAAAATCTATGTTATTATTTCTTTTTTGAGTGAAAATTTATATTTTATTCAATAATAATTGAGAATTTTCCATCTATTTTATTTACTATTGTTACAATAAAATTAAAATTGCAGATTAAGTGGAATATTAAATGAAGGATATCTTCATTCCTTCTCAATAACAAATTGTCTCCAAAAAAAAAAAAAAAAAAAATGACCAAAAAGCGGTACATTGTATAAAATGCCATCCATCATAAATTGTTATTCAGACCGGTTCGATCGATTCGATTTATATTGTTTCATCAAATTAAATGACGAATGAAATGAATAGCAAAAACATATTTTCCCATTTCATCAAATGGTTTGAAATAATTATATCAACAAATAACAAATCAACAATGCATCAATATAACAATTTTCTTATCAGTACCAAGTTGTCTTCAAATAAAAAAGAAGAAAAATTAATGAAATGGTATTTTAAACGAAGTAGTAAAAATTTCAACAAATAATTTCAATATCAACAATTATCTGAAATGTATTTGAGTGTAGATTTTATGTTTCTTTTTCTCATTGATTTCTTTTTAAAATTACATTTAATAAATGTATTGATAAATACATTTTTTTTTCAATAATCTTATGATGAATTTTGATAATGTCATTCTCTTTGTTTCTTTATATTTATGCTCCTTCCATTTTTTTGTTTTCTCATCATCTGTAAATTCAATAATAAACAAATAATAATTAATGTTTTTCATCGATATCTTAGTTTGTTAAATCTCATCTGAAATGCTATAAAATGAAATAGAGAAAGGTATGCAAGAATTATGGAAAACATTTGCTGAAAATTTAATGATAATGGACCATCCAGAATTCATCTTTCGACTATATCAACAACCTATATTAGTTTATTTCATTGAAAAATTTATTAATTAAAAATTTTAGGATAAATCAAAAGATTAGACTTAAAATGTGGAAATTGAAAAATTCACAATCTTGCTAATTATCTGAAGTTGTAATTTAAAACATATATTCAATGTGTGTATTTTCTTCCAACATCAGCGATTAAAAGAATGAATTAAAAAATAATACTATTTCAGTAAGAGAAAGTGATAATTTCTTACTTCACACAATTAATGATAAAGGGATAGATCAGTGATAAGGGAAATATCAGCTCATAATATATTCTATTTTTATGCTGATCTTATCATTAATATTTTAATATAAAAAAAAGGATGAAAAAAGAGAAAAATAACGCCACATAAATATCTATAAAGTATTAAATAACGAATAAAATGCAAAAAAAAAAAACATTAATATTAAAAAAAAAATAATCAAAAAGTTTAAAAATTTTTCAAAATTTAAAACAAAAATTAGTCAAGAATAAACACTTAATTTAAAGACAACGTTGATATTCCTTTTTTAATATTTGATTAAATAAAGTTTAATCGAATAGCACAGACATTCTTTAAAAATTTGAACTTTTAGTTTGTTCATGATAAGAACATCCTTTTCATCACAAAAGAAATATCATTCTTCTTTCCTGTGATAAATCATAAAGTATTTTGTTATCAATAAACTTATCTGATACAGAAATCAAAACTGAAATATGTCAATAATCTTTGTGCATAAAATTATTTGCCACTTTTTCATAAATAGATTAATGTACTGACTAATCATAAACAATAATCTTAATAATACTTTCTATTGTTATTAATATTTGTTCCAAAGAAAAATTTTGCAAATTTTTAATCTCCAAAAACTTTTACAACTTATTGTATTTCACAAATTTTACAACTGAAAAAAAAAACAGAAAAACAAAACAAAAAATATTCATATTTATGATTAGCATTAATGTATTGTAATTTATTATTTTATTTACAAGCATTTCATATTTAATAAAATTTAAAAGCGCTTAAGGGCTTACCTATCTCATTCAAGCAAATGCTCAAATTGTAAAAATAGTAGCCTTGTGGGCCGCTTCCTTTTGAATATTTATAAATTATTTTTTAAAAAAAAAGTTAATTAATCATTTATTTTAAAATCAAACAAAAAAAGACAATTCATTATTTGATTATAAAAATAATTATAAATTATATATCTTTGTTTTATGATCAAAAATAGAAAGAAAAAAAGTAAGAAATTTGTTGCTCCATAATTGCTTTTATAAATAAGTAATTGAATTCAAGGAGAAATAATTACAAACCTGAAATTGATTGGCACTGATATCATATCAATTTTTATTTCAAATTAATTGGAATTAAAACAAATTGAATAATCTAATCACCTTTTACCACAATTATTTCGAACAACCATAGTTATTATAACAATAATTTATAGCTATTTTGGATGATTAGTATTTATATCAGTAAGGAGACGCGACGGCAAAATTAAAGTTTCAAATTCTGCAATAAGGAATCAAAATTTTAAAATAAAAATTTAGAAACTTAAATAATTATAGACTTTTAGTGCAATATGCCATTATTAATTTTATAACTTTAATTATTAATGTTTTTGTTTATTTGTTACAAAAAAGTAGAGAAAACAAAATAAATTAATAAATAAATCAAAATCTAAAAAAGAAAAAAGATTAAAAAATGAGAAACGAAAAAAATTCAATTTTATGAAAAGACTTTCTTTTACTTCGGATAAAATATTAAAAATTAATCGTTTTTTCATTTGTAAGCATTAATTAAGTTTTATTTCAGATTAATGAATAATCTGAGTTTGATATTGCGTGCATTCTTTGATGTAAATGATAAACTGATAGCATTACGAATAAATTCATTAAGAAAATTGGATGAAAAATTTGTTCCGAATAAATTTGTTTTCAATTTTTCGTCTCATATGCGCAATCAAGTTAATAAGTTATTGATTGACGAGGAAAATTTGGCACTATGATGAGATTAAAGAAACAATTTTGATCTTTTAATTTGAATGAACGGTGCCATTGGTACAAAATAAAGTAAAACAAAGTTGGATTTGTTGAATTTGATAGAAATTTCAATCTAATTTATTTTGGCATTTCAAATTTGAAAACTATATAAAAATTACGGTCAAAATTATTTATTGTTAAACTGCATTTGAATTATATATTTTTTAATGAATTTAAAATGCACTATTATGAGAATTAAAAGAAAATCTTAAAAAAATTAGAAAAAATATCAAAAGAGACAAAATTATGTATGCGAAAAGAAAAAGATATTCATTTTTTTTAGCAGAAATTAGAATTCATTTTGTTTTTTGATTAGTGCTTTTCTTAATGTAATGCAACAATTTTGCTTTTACAGATGATTATTTCAAATCTTTTAAATGTACGAATTAATTTGATGTGACTTCAACCTTCATCCTTTTCCCATTTTATCATTTTCTGATAATATTTTCGTTTCTTTATCACATTATTCATCAATTTCTCAATTAAATTACATTATAAACCATTGCTTTTAATGAAAGTCATCCATTACAAAACCATTAATAATAATAATGATAATAATAATAATAATGGTAATAATAATTGATAATAATAATAGTAATACTTATAGGTGCAATATTTGATGATAACAATAATAGAAACATCATTAATAAGTCGATAATGATAGTAGTAATATTTACAATTACTCATCATGTCAAATATATATTTTATATTACATATCTCAACAATAGTTTAAGAATTTTTCAGTTAAAAATTTTAATGTTACAAAAGTTATAAAATTATGTAACCAAAAATTACAATTACACAAAAATATTAATACTTGATTGTTATGAATTAGTAAATTATCCGAGGTAATTTAATATTTCGTTCGTTTTCTTTTTCTTAAATTTAATATAATTTATAAATTTTTATCCATGAACAGATGAAATATTTATTGATTCTATTGCATTTGACAATATTAACTATTCAAAAACGAATCATACGAATTGGACATTTGCTGCCAGCTAATCCGATCATTGCAAATGAAGCGGATGTGCTCAGAATTTGCGCGGATGATCTTCATAAGCGCAATATTTTACCGCCTAATTTAACAATGGAGTATGAAAGAATTTGATTAATTATATTTAAGCATTTATTATTTGTTCCAAAATTTATTAATTTCATTATTATTCCATTGAAACAAGTAATTTATGCCAAAATTTTTTATTTACAGCTATTTAATCCACTAATTTAGTTTAGTAATATAACGAAAAAAAATTTATGACTGAATATTATTCCAGGAAATGCTAATATGATATATGAAAATAATAACAATAATGAATAAATCAATTATAAAAGTTAAAGTTGGAAAGAAATGAAATAAATATAATCGAATTTGATATATTTCCAAGCAAATACTGTGCTTTACAATTAGTTGCTTAATACTAAATAAAAATAGATATTAAAAAGAAACTTTTTTTTCATTTTATAAGAATCAATTTATGTAATAAAATTTTTCTAATATATTTTTTGTTTTTGTTTTTTCAAGAGTAATTACAATGGAATCATGCAACGACTTTAGCGGTGTTGAAAATGCCGCTTATTTACATTATATGCACAATGCTACAGTATACTTTGGACCTGGTTGTAACGATGGTACTGTAATATTTATTTTCAAATTTGATTGCTTCTAATTAACAGTTATTTATAAAAGTTGTTTATTAAAGTGAAAGAAAACAGTAATTGTCATAAATGATAATTAGAAATAATACTTTTTGAAATTTTGATAATGATTAATAAGCGGATTGTTTAAGAAAAGTTAAAATAATTTGGATAGTTTTGATAGTTTTTAAACTGTAGAATAATTAAATGAAAATAACTTAACAATTAGCATCTCTAAATGCTATGGTCAAAGCTTGGATAGTTTAAAAATTATATTTTAAAAATAGTTTAAATTATTAGCAAATTAAAAATGCATTGGTATAATTGCAGAAATTATAATAATTAGTCGCTTAGCTAAACGCTGGAATGTTCCGATTATAGCACACTTATCTGGTGATGATACGCTTGCTGATAAAACTATATTTTCAACGCTTGGCACTGTTGCTCTCACGTCAGCAATCGAGATGGCTCGAGCAACGTTCACGTATCTTAAGCTAAACAATTGGAAAAAGGTTCATTAAAAATTAGTTGATGAAAAATTTACAGTTTAATGCAAAACTGATCATTTAATTTATCTATTTAATATATTTATTAATAAAAGAAATTGACAAATTTCTTTACGAATTTATTTTCGATTTTTGTTATATTTTTTCATCGCAAACTAGATTTAAACTACTGTAGCACTATGTCTGTCAAGTTTTCTTTCTAATAAAAAAAAAAAAAAAAATGAAAATAAAACCTCCAATGCATAGCTTACACATTCCTTTTGCATTTGTTAAGTTTTAATTTGATTTTAACATTTCTTACGGAAAATATATCACTGCATTCTTCTGCAATATTTGATAAGCAGAAAGTAATTCGCTGCCTTAATAATTTAATCAGAACCGTTCATTTAATCCTTTATTCAGTACTGCTTTAAATTTCAAAAAATATTATTAAAAAAAAAAAAAAAATAATTAGAATTTTTCAGATTGGTATTGTACGACCGACAGTCCATTTTGATGGCCTTTCCATACATTCTTTGGTGCAATTAGCAAAAAATAGTACCGCTGTTAGTATTAATATTATAATCGAAGTTGATCCATTTGCATCTGTCGATGAAATCTTAAAAAGCGGAAAACTTGAAATACTTCGAACTTCTGCAAGAAGTAATTAGCAGTTTGTTTTGTTAAATTTTAATATGTTCTATTTTTATTGCATAGACTTACAATACAATATATATATATACACTATAATAATTAGATGAAATATAACAAAGCAACTTGGTACGTTTAATCTAGTTTTCTACACTAATATAGTAATTTAATTAATATTGCATAAATTTACATAAAAATTATGGTTAAAAAAAAAAAAAAAAAACTTGGCAAAACAATTTTTGGTTACTAAAAATAAAAAATTTATGTCTATATTTATAAAGTAGTGGTAGATAATAAATAGAATGATAATGAAATAATTAATTCATATTCATTAATTGAAACAAAAACAACCTGCGTTTTAAACTTTTTCAAAGCCTTACGTAATCAGTAATTAGGAGATTAATTTGGATATATAATTTACAAGCGAAAATTTCTTCGAACCTTTGTATCATTTAGTAATTAATATTCAAACATAAAATTGTGCAACTTAGCTTCTTTTTACTCAGTGATTTATCTGCTAAACAATTAATTAAATTATTAAATAAAAATGTCTTGAAGTAATAATACTAATCAGTGATAATATTAAGTAATTGTGGTCGAATTAGGCTTGGATCTCAGTGCTTGCACCAATTTTATGCTAGCAGTTTTAAAAGCTAACATGAAAAATGCAGAATATGTATACATACTACCATGGCTTTCTCATGTAAGTTATTATTAAGCAAATAGTTATTAATTTATTATTATTTTCTAAATCATTATCAATCGATTTGTTTTGCTCCTACTCAAATTTAAGGAAGTAGCGAGCAAATTATCATTCACTTATGTATATTTATTCCAATCCAATTCAAATATCAGTAATTTATAATATACATTGGTATTTTTCATGAAAAAGAAAAGAAAAAGGAAAAAAGGTGAAAAGTATTATTATTCAAAATATTTTTCTTGCAGTTATTTTTTGATTAATTAAAATATTCATAGTGTTTTCTATAGATTGTTGATTACTTTCCATGGGAAGTGATAAAAATCAAAGACAATCATTTGATAAAACAAGCCTATGAAAATGCAATTGTAATAACTGCCCAAGGTTATGATCATAAATTAGTTCAACATTTTGCGCATAAATTTTCAAAAGAAACTGGTCATATGGCTTCTTCACATGTATGTTTTCTTGTTTCCCATTTGATTTCTATTTCTCTTTTTTCTTCTGATATTTTCCCAAAAATCAAATAGAAATACGAGAGCTGGAGAGGAAATAAAAGATGAAAAATTAAATTGAAGAAAAAATTCTTCAAAATAAGAATTGAAAATTCCTAGAATTAAATTAGTAATAGTTTTACAGTAGTTTGTAATCTTTCTCCCCATACTGTCCCCTAATTTTCGTTTATTTATTATGCAAAAGAAAGAAGGGAAGAAGATGAAGGGAGAGAGAGAGAGAGACGAAGAAACAAAATGGCTTTCAAATTATTAATTGGGAAAAAGCAGAAAAATAAGTGATAGTTTGGTATGCAATGGGCAATGCTTCTTCTACAGTTTGTTCTACAGTATTCCACAGTATGCAATATTATGGTATACGATACCTATTTTACAGTATGCAATACTTGTTTACATGTCATTATATGATGCATTATTCCTGTATGGTCTTGCGTTACGTGACGCATATGATATTACCGGTGATGACCATATTAACAATAACGGATCGTTAATCTGGAAGAAAATGACTAATCGCCAATTTTTAGGTAACAATGCAGAACTTTTCTACACAAATAAACAATAAGAGAAATTAAAAATAAAAAAAATCAGAAAACAATTCCGAAAACTTTTTCGGAGAAATTTTTTGAGCTTTCCATTTTATGATAAATCAAGTTTTAAATAAAACTAATTTAGATTTTTCTTTGCATTTCTTAGATTTTCTATAAAAATGAAAGAAGAAATATAAAAATGCGCAATATATTAAAAAAAAAAAGCATTTATGAATAAATTATGTATGTAATGTTATGTAATAAATTAGAATTTAGACAAAATGGAATTTATAAATTTCCATTTTTGAGTTGAATTTAAACTAACAAATATTTTTGTCAATTGTTATTAGTAACAATATAAGTATCATTATCCTTTATACAGGTATGACTGGCCAGGTGTTGATTGATAATGAAGCAGTTCGAATACCAAGCTATATTACATACCAATTGTATAATGGTAGTTTACGAACTGTCGTGGAATTAGAAGCAAAACTTGGCGATCCGGAAAAATGTAGCCTGAAAGGCGAAGAATGTTCGCTACATGTTAGTCATCTGTGGCAATTTGCATATTGCAATTAAATAATTGTTATAACAGTTGTCATTTTGAATTTTCAAAAAAAAAAAAAAGAAATAACTGTTAAATTTTCAAAAAAGTTTGAAATTCATAATTTTTTTGCAAAAAAAGAATTCTAAATAATAATAATTTTGTTCGTTTAACATTTTCCTTTTCATATTTCACTCAATAATATTTGATTTAAAAAGAAAGCGATTAAATTATGATTTAATAAATATCGGTTTTAACAAAAGAATCTGTGTAATTTCAAAAAATTATTTTCATGAACTGAAATGCAGAAATAAAGAGAAAGAAAAGAAAAAAAAAATATTGGATTGGAAAAACAGAAAAACAATGAAGGATTGTTTCTTTTACAAAACTTGGGATGATTTAATAATAATTAAATAACAAAAAAAAAAAAAAGAATCAATCAATTATTAATTAACAAATTTGAAATTAAATATCTTCATTATTTCCCATATGCTTTTAATATTCTAATACTTTATTATCTTTTTTTTTAATCTCATAGTTTAATTAATGAATTTCCATTCAGTGCTTCAATTACTAAATTATCGAGAAAATCAATTATTTGTATATTAACTCATTCAAAATTAACGAAAAATACTTGAATTATGCTAAAATTTGTTAAATTAAATGTTTCTTTTCAAAAGAAGAAAGATATTCATATGATGCACACATTATTCTTGCAAATATCTTTAAATATAGCAAAAATTTAACTGATGCTAATAAGAAAATCTCTTGAGCTTTTTCTCCTACTTTTTTAAAACTTATTTAGGTACCACATGAAATTTTAATGAATTACTGGTTGACAGCAAATGGTGAGGCACCATTTGATATGCCATCTTGTGGATATGATGGAAGTTTATGCGATTACACAAAATATATTTTGGCTGGTGCATCAGCAATTCTTTTACTTTTTACTATTGTTATTGGTTATTTTCTATACATGAAAGGGTTAATTAAAGCATTCCTTAATTACTTTGCTAAATCTAAGTATTACTTTAGCATTTATCAATTTATTCATTCTCATCAAATTGGTTAATGTGTTGGTATTAACTACGTAATATACAAACTGAATTTCAGTCATTCAATTTATTTATAATTAAAAACTGATATAAGTTTGATAAAATTTATTTTAATGCTGAAAATTTTAGAAAAGAAAGACGATTGTATGATATGACGTGGCGCATAGCACGTGAATCAGTTCGTCTGTTAGATTTAGCTACTGACGTAAATTATAATTCAATTTTTATTTCATTTATGTCTTAACTAATCATATAAAATTGTTAAATTATTAAATTTTATTAGCATAATCCATCGAAAAAATCAAAACGTGTTCATTTCTTTTCACGTAACTCACTTCCTCTACAATTCACGTTACCTTTTTCAGCATACAGGTAAATCAGTTAATGGATCAGTAATTAGTAATGAATCAAATACAAATCAAATGTTATCAATGGAACGTGCAATATGCAACGGTGTTAAATTATCAGTTCGCCGATATCATCAAACACGAAATATTACATTTCCAAAAAATGAATTGCAAATTTTGAAACAAGTAAATAATTTTTTTAAAAAAAGTCAATTCACTGAAATATTTATTAATTATTCAAATTTTAAATTTTTAATCAAAATTTCGGAATTGTTAAATAATTAAGAAAAATAAGTAAAAGCAAAATTAGTTGATGAAAAAATTTTGAAATTAATTGAGGATAGAGAGAAAGGAATGAAACAATTTTAAATAAAAAAAAAAAAATAAAAAAAACGAGTAAACTGCTGGAACAATTATCATTTAAATAATTTGCATAGCAATCACTCACGTACGTGAGATAAGTAAAATTTACTTTTCTATTCTGTATAATTTGATATACTTATCTGATTTTATACGGAATGTTACATTCACGGAAAATCAATGCTATTTAATAAAAAATAAATGAAGTTTTTTCAGCTAAAAATGTTGGAAAATGAAAATTTGAATAAATTTTATGGAATTTGTTTTAACCAACAAAATGAATTGCTAATCCTTTGGACATTTGTTACACGTGGAAGTCTTGGAGTAATGAATAACTTTTTCTTTTTCATTAAATTTTAAGAATTTAACAAATTTACTGAAGCTTTTTTACAGTTAAAAAAAAAAAAACTAATTTAATGACTTAGTAATAAAACATTTTTTAATTTAATTTTACAATTATTTCATATAATATTTCAGGATATTATTTTTAACAATGAAATGAAACTTAACCGAAATTTTCTAGTTTCATTTGCTAAAGATGTTGTTAAGGTATGCAACAAATTAATCTGAAAAGAAATAATTAATTTAAAAAACTAAATATTACAAAATTTATTTATAGATAACAGTAATAAAAAAAAAAAAACTTATCGTTAGTTAAAAGAAACCTGTCAAAATTTATCAATTTTAATTTTTTTTAAAAATTGTGTTTGATAATTTCAAAATTTTAAAATGTTATTTATGAATTAAAATAAAAAATTTAAATTGAATTGAACTGAGCAATAGCTAAATAATTAAATGATATATAAATCATTTTGTTCAAAAATTTTATTGCTTTTGTTTTATTGTTAAATTATTGTCGAGAATAATTCAAATTATTTTAGGGTATATTTTTCCTGCATTCATCGCCAATACAATACCATGGCTTATTGTGCTTGCAAAATTGTCTCGTTGATTCACATTGGACAGTTAAATTAACAGATTTTTATACGGAAGTAATTGTTGCTGAAAAGTTATTGCATAACGAAATAAAACAAATCTTTAAAAAAGTTGATGACAACGATGATGATAATATTCAAATTAGCCGAAGTAATTAATTAATTAGTGACTTTTTTTTAAGTTCTAGTTTTTCTATATTATTATTGAAAAATAATTAAAAGAAAAAATAAAATTCATAAATAATTTCAAAAATTATTTACATTTCAGAAGGCTAATTGCTCAATTAAAGAAACTAAATACGTTTTGTTTTTAGCAATAATTTGATCCATCTTATTTTGTAATTTATATTTCAGAATTTATAAAAATAACTCATTTATTTTATAATATTAGATTTTTTCCTTTCTTTGGTCATATTGATAACATGTGAGAAATTTTTGGATATAAAAAAAAGATATGATGCAATGAATATGTAATGTTGTAAGGAAAGGAAGAGAATGATATGATTATATGATGTGATATGATATGATATGATATGATAACTGATAAATTTTTCAGCTAAGATTTTTAGCAGTGATGTATTGATAGTTTTTTTTTATATATTAACTAATGTTTAATTTTTGTTTTATTTTGTTTTAATTTTTTTTACAAATTATATATTAAGTAATGTTTAATTTTTTTGTTTTATTTCATTTTAAAATTTTCTTTTTACTCTTCCATTTAATTTTTTTAAAATAACAATCTTTATATACCAATGCATTTTATATATTTTCATTAATAATATGTTAAAAAAAACGAGGAAAAATTTTCTTGAAAAACATCTATCATATCAATTTCGCAAATTTTCATAATTTTTTAATCATTAATTTAATAAATTTAAATTCGGAATCAAAATAGCATCAATTTAAGAGCATTCAACTTTTTATTTTCGTCTTCAGAATATATCCAACAAGCACCTGAAATTCTACAAATTATTTTAAAAACGAAATTTTTACCACATGGCTCTCAAGCAGCAGATATATATTCACTCGGTATGGTACTCTATCAAATATTATTTCGATTGGAACCATTTCATGAACTCTCCATTTCCACAAAAAGTAAATTTATTTCATAAATTTTAAATTTTCGTAATTACATTACATTTTGTAATGTTAATGAAATGACATTAATACAATGATTTTGATAAATTATTCAACAATTAATATTTATTTTAATTCTTTTATTCCAGCTTAATTCCAATTATATTTGAATTAGTATTTACAGATTTATTTATTTTTATGTAATAAATTTAAGAAAACAAAATTTCTTTTATTCCGTTTAAATTTATTTTGTTAAATTTACCATATTGTTCAATTTATTATTATTATTATTATTATTATTATTATTAAATGTTATCATTATTGCAGAATTACTGATCAAATTAGCAAATAGTATTGAAGAAGGTTGCATTCGACCAACATTTCCGTCAGCTAACAATGATTCATCCTATAACCTTCAATTAATAAGTACCATTGAGGTTAAAGAAAAGGAATAATTTTAAAATATAATTATTTTAAATTTATCATTTGAGAAAATAAAATTAAAAATTAAATGGTAAACTACTAAGGAGAAATGTTGTACGTATATTTTGTTTGTGTCTGTTTATGCATAACATTTATTTGCTTTTTAAACCAATTATTTAATTAATTTTACCACTTTTTTTTTTCAAAAAGATTTTATTATTTAAATTATAGAACATATATTTTCTAGCAGACATTTTTCATCTTTTTTATATTTTTTATCCTAAAATGATTTAAAACTCTAACAGATTTTTAACTGTGTTATAATTCAATTGTTATTTGCTTAATAAAACATTTAGGCATGTTGGCTAGAAATTCCACAAATGCGACCAAATATTAAAAAAATTAAAGAAGTTATTAATGCAACCTTAAAAACAACGTAAGAAATTTTTGCTTTTTTCCTCATACAGTTAATTTGTCGAATAAATTTGCTATTTGTATTGCAAAAGGAAATAATTAATTGGATCTTCTTGCATAATAAATTACTTTGCAGTTAAATTTTAACATTTTAATCAAATAAATTTGTCAAAAAACTTCTTTTTTTTCAAATCATTTTAGTCTTTTTTTTTTCTACTCTTTTAGACGAAAAATTTGTGAGAATCATATTGAAAATGACAATTCAAAAAAAAAAAAAAACGACAAACTTTTATTATTTGAAGGATTGTCTAAACGGTTTATTAATTAACTATAAATTATCTTTTAAATATTGCAAAGTTTTACAAGAAAAAAATGATAATTTTTCAAAAGTAATGGTACTTGTATCTAATTGATATCTTCGAGAAAATTTTCAACCACTTTTTATTTCTCTTTATCACAAAAAAAAAATGATAAAAATGAGTGACCCATTAAAATAGTTAACATTTTTTACTAAAATTAACAACATTTTATAAAAAAAATCCGGGACATATTGATCTATTGGGAGATATTGATCCACTGGTAGATATCGATCTTACTAATAGTTACTATTTCAGAGGAAGTGGATCACTTTTGGATCAAATGATGGAAATGATGAATGAAGTTCTTCTTCTTTTAAAAAAATAATAATAATAAAAATAAATTATCTATAATTAATTGATAGTAAAATCTAATATTTCAAACGCAATGTTATTATACATTTGGGATAGCATTATAATTAATATTATAAGTATTTTCAGGATAAATTTAAACAATAATATTTAATAAACTACAACAATTATTGTTGTCAAATATTTATTATAGTTGAATTTGAATTAAAATTTGAATGAAAAAAAGGAGTGCTAATTTTAGTATACTGTAAATTTGGAAGTAATGGTGAAAAATCGAACAGCATTATTAGAAGAAGCACAACAACAAGCTGATCGATTACTCTACAGTATATTACCAAAGTTATTATTACTTAATTTATTTTTGTTCAATTTCAAATTTTAATTTTTTACTAAACATTCATCTTTTGATAATCGATGATAAAAAATTTGTAAAAAATTTAAAAGCTTGTCAATAATTACTAATAATTAATTAATTAAATTATTCCATTGCACATACATTAATAACAGTAACATAAACAAGTATCATCTAAAGAATGAACAAATTTTAAAGATCAATTGCGGATGATTTAAAAGTTGGCAGACAGGTGCCACCACAGTTATACCCATGTGCTACCGTACTTTTCTCGGATATTCGAGGATTCACTCGATTGTCATCTATTTCAACTCCATTTCAAATTGTTAAATTTCTCAACGATCTTTTCAGTGGCTTTGATGATATCATCTCGAAACATGACGCATACAAAGTAAATTAATTATTAATTAAATCATTCTATTGAAAAAAATTATTGTTTTAATATGAGCATTAATTAATGATAGATTAATTTATTTATAGATAACATTTTCTAAATTATTTTTTTAATTAATTTAAAAATGTAAAAAATATTTTATTAAATGTCATTTTTTTTCCTTTTTTGTTTTTCCTTTTTCTCTTTTTTTGCATATAGTATGGTTGTATTTTTAACTTTTTCACTTTTCATTTCATATTTCTTTGTTTTCTATTCTCAAATTAATTCACATTTTCTTTTTTTTTTCTTTTTTTTTGTTTATATATTTGGAAAAATAACTAATTTGCGTTTTAATTATAAAATTGAATTTAAAGGTAAAAAACGGAAAATTTATAATGAAAAAAAGAATTTCATAGCATGTTTTAAATGTAAAATCAGTAATTAGTTTATACGAAAATAATTAATTTAGTACAAAATGAAAATTTTAAAAAAGTTTCAAATTACTAACAATAAATACAATTAATCACTTTATATTAGGAAAAAAGAAAGGAAAAGAAAATAAAATTGAGTAACCTTTGAAATATTTAGTAATTTTAACTTTTGTAATCGAATAACTCAAAATATTTGTGCAATTTTATTCAGTTAAAATGGAATGATTTAAATTATTTCAATTATGAATTTTCTTTTTTCTATGCATCCTTTTGTGTTGCTCAAAGATAGAAACAATGATTAGCAATCAAATGATATGATAATAACTTTAACAGTTAATTTGATATTTAATAATTTAAACAAAAAAAGTTACTTTAAAATCTAAGGTTGAAACAATCGGTGATGCATACATGATCGTTTCCGGTTTACCGAAAGAAAATGGTTATGCACACGTTGAGAACATTGGTAATATTGCACTTCAAATGCGCTCGGTTAGTTAATTAGCGCCATTTTTATTATGAGACAAGAAAAAAAAGCAAATAATTGAGATTGAAATTTTATTTGTTATAAAATATTTTTAATATTAATAAATAAATAAGAAGGTAAGAAAAGAAATAAAATAATTATTATTTCACTCATTTTTACACTTTTTTTTTCATTTATTTTGATGGATTTTATTTATATAATAAAATATAAAATGAGAATGAATAAATTAAAAAGAAATTATTTAGTTTGTAACAAAATTTAAAATCATTCATCGACCCGAAGAACGATTAATGGTACGAATTGGCTTTCACAGCGGTGCTGTAGCAGCAGGTGTCGTCGGTTTAATTACACCACGTTATTGTCTCTTTGGTGACACAGTTAATATGGCATCCAGAATGGAAAGTACGAGTGAACCAAATGAGATACAAGTAATTCCCTCTCTCTCTCTCTCTCTCTCCCTCCCTCCCTCCCTCTCTTTCTCTCCATTTTTTCATTTCCAATCTTTGAGAATAAATTTAAATTTGCATTTAAATTTGCTTAAATAAGATAATAAAAACTTACAAAAACTTACATGAATCTATTCTGGAAATGAATGTGTTTACATTTAACAAAATGTAAACAATTAATTATTCAATATTTTGAGATCAGTGATCAATCATATAATTTGCTTCATTGCTATTTTCCGCAATTTCAAATTATTGAACGAGGAAAAATTAGTGTTAAGGTAAATCTGTTTTTGATTTGATTTGAATAATCACCTTAAGTCTATTAAATTATAGAATTTGCTTTTTTATTTTTTATGAACTTTTGCTTCATTAATTGATTTCATTTATTCCTAGATGACTTAGTTGAAATATTAATTTTTCAGGGTAAAGGTGAATGCATCACATATTTTTTGCAAGGTAAAGAAGATGAAAATACTATGAGTGCGTAAGCTTCTTCATGACATCTATGAAGATATAGCATATTATTAAATTAAATGTTGCTAGTATTTTAAAAAATTAAATAAATTAAAAAAAAAGAACAGCATATTTCATTGGCCATAAATAATTTTGCTCCAATTATTCTCACCGTATAAAGCTGTTAAATGTTTTAATGTGTCGTTATTTAATCATTACTTGTCAATTAGATGGAGGTAAAATATTTACTGAAATGAAAGAAAAATTCAACTTTCTTTTTTTAAATATTTGTTGTAACTATTTATTTGGATAACATTTCATGCCTTACTGCACAGTATAAATAATTTAAATCATTTATTTTGTAAGTGGATTAAAATTTTAAAAGAAAAATTAATAATTTCTCCATGTTTCTGTATATGAAAATTTTATACTTCACAGTAAATACAGTAGATGTGTTGATAAGGGGAACAAATTACTTCCTAAATACAGCAAAAAAGAGAAGAAACACTGTAAATTTGAATGTATCACATTAGTGGAGATGATGAAGACATTGTGCAAGGTAGAAGAGTAAAAAAAAGAAAAAAACGAATAAAAATTTCATTTGATGAAAGATTTAAAATTCAGATGATAAATTGTGCATTTGATGAAGAGAAGGAATAAATGGAGAGTAAAATAATGATAGATTGTAATAATGATAAATTATGCGATAAGACCAGGTATATTTAACAGCTATTGCAACATTAATATCATCATTCCCATGCATCTTTTCTCCAAAAATTTTAAAAATTTCCAAAACTGAACCATCCAGCAAACACTTTGCTATATGTAATCTGTCAAGATAGAAGTAAAGCAAGTATTATATGCAGGAATAACTAATCAAATAAACAAAATGAGCAATCATTCATTCATTCACATAAAAGATACATCCACATGAGTTGTCGATCAAAATTGAACAATTATTATGCCATTTGCCATATTTAGCGGATTAATCTACTGCTCAGGCATAAATAAATGTCTTCTGAGTTTTGTTATTTGAAAGAACGAAAAGTTGGAGTCTAATACACATCACATCATTCATGGTTTTATTTCCACTGAATAAAGATAACACTAAAAAACAAGTGGATAATCGGAGTAAAATTTTAATAGCTAATAAAGCAATAATATTAACTATTTATTGACATTCTGAGGCAGTACGTTTACGATTTACCCTGTTTTGCCGGGCAGATATTATAGTGAAATCACCCATTTCTGTTGTCATTATCAGGCCACGACCATCCCTACGTTGAAGAAGCTCCAAATTCTGGAAAAAAAATTAATAATTCTACAGTAAGTCACTTACTTGAATTAATACGCAAATATCTGTTGTCTCAGAAATAACAGAGGAGGATGAGATAAAAATAATGGAAATCTCGAAAGGCGATGATTTTCCCCATGATTGTCATCATTTTTTTCGAAAGAAATTTTAATAACAATGAAACTGTTCACCTGGATAAAGTGAGCTCAAGATGCAAACAATGCTAATTGAGTAAAAGTTTTCTTCTCTAGCAATTTTTCATTTCATCAGGAAATAGCAAAGAAATTTTTTTTTTTTTTTTTTTGCAAATTTAAATTCGAATAATTAAAATTACTAACATTTTCATTACAAAGATGCAAAAGCACTGAGAACGCATTAATAGGACTGAGATCATCAGCAGTTCGTCCAGCTAAATACGAAGGAAGTTGGGCCAAAACCGATGAGAATGTATGTCGACCTGCTAATCTAAAATCTTTTACTGTTACTTCAGCATGTCGTAGCTCACATGTTGGATCATCGGTCATCTCCTGGAATAGAGAAAAAGATAATTCGTTAAAATTCAAAAGTATAAGTTCTCAATTCCTTAATGTTAAATTTCTGTTCGATTATAATACAAAAAAAGAGCTCAAAATTCAACTTCTAAAAATCAAACTCAAATTCCCTTGAAATTATCACCTCCTCTTCCCTCAACTGCAATCGCTCTTCCTCTCTACTAAGTTCGATGCGATCAAATGAATCCTGATAAGAATCCTCGCTTAAAATGCTCAAATCATTCAAACCATCTAAAAAACTGAATCCCTGTTGTCGTGCGGCAGAGAGTTCAGCATTCAAAGCATCGGCATCAAGCTTAAAAATAATCATATTCTTGAATTTCAAGTAAATAAAAATAAAAATTTCTTATATTTTTAATAAGACTGATTCAAAAGTATATACAAAAACTTACTTTCGCATTTGATAATATAGTACCAATTGCTCGTTTCACAGCTGGTGCATTGATGCGTCGTTGTCTCACCGAATATTTCACACCAAAAATCTAAAAAGAAATAAAAAATAAAACAAAAAATATTCTGATATGTAAGAAAGAAAAAGTGTAAGAATCTCTTTCCTTCTTTTATTTTATTTCCTTTTTTGTTTACCAGATGATATTTGGGAACAGAAACCAAAACATTTGGTCCTAAACATGTAACAGACTACAAAGGAACACGTTTTATGAAACATAACTATAAATCATTCGCTTATGCACATTTGCATCACATGAAAATTAAATATTTACCTCAGCTTCTTCTGCCCCAGAATCGGCTTCAGAATAGAAACTCTGGGTGGTTTTCACTACTGGCACATCGTACATTGGTACCAATGTCTATAAAAAGCTTAGTCATAATTGCAAATTAATCGATTTCTATTTGTTTAAATATAAACAAATTACAATATTACTCATAAAATCTAATGCTCTAATTTAAATAAAATTTAATGGTGTTATATCTATTGCATAGCTATCTGATATCCGATCATTTTCAAATTAGGACACATAATTTAAGAAATAAAACCTATTTTTAAACAAAAACGGATAAATTATATACCTAATCTAAACCTTGAATAACCAATAAAAAGATGCAAAGTTTTCGAATAACGATAATAGTAAAAAAAAAGAACCTTGTTAATGTTGATAAATAATAAAACCTATTCATTTAGGATAATGACTAAAACAAAACACTTCAACAGTGATGATGAAAAGACAAAAATTCATTCCAGTAAATATAATAAAATAAAATGTTCCTCACACTATCATTATCATTATCGTCATTATCCTGAGTAGCAACTTCGCTAAATAAGTCATTATCGTTATTGCCGTCAAATGTTTCACTGGTACAAGGTACTGACATTGATCGCTGTTCCAAACATGCGTCATCGAAATAACCATTGAAGCACGACATGTGTTCCTTAATTCTGCAAAATTTAACATATGCAATTTGAGTCATAACTTTCATATAATTCTGATTCACTACGAATTTTAAATTTTGAAGAAAGAAATAAATTAAAACTAACGCTTCTTCAGGATCTAAATCCTCCCTAATGGTTTGTCGTAGCATTTTTGATAGGTCTTCATCTTTAGTATCCACTGGTGCTGACATTGATCGATTACAGTGCAGATTCTCCCATTCGCCCTATAATAACAAAATACTCAACAAATATTAGCTTCCAGAAAACATTCTATAAAATCGGAACAAAAAACTGGAGATCGGTATTTTGATATAAAGAGAGAAAATACCGAGAAAACGTGAGCCAGACGACAAAATTGCTCCGGTTTATAAAATAAATCAGTAGCGAGCCGTGTCCGATTAATCTTCAGGACTTCATCTTCACGTTTGACAAGTACAGTCGGACGTTTCGTTTGTCTTTGCCGATCTCGAATCACAGCAAGAGGCATATTGTCGAAATCACCAATTTCGAAAACTTCCTTTTCCTCTTCTTTTTTCACCTTAATAAATTTATATTTAATTGAAATTTAAGCTTTTTGATATTCAAAAATTTGAAAAAACTCAACACATGCAATTCTTCAATAAATTATTCAATTAGCTCAAGTATTTCTCATCTCATGCAAAACCATTAAGTTATTCGGGAGTTAGGACCACTGATACATGATCCTCCCTTAATAAGGTTATCAATCCAATTTAAAAATCCAGTCGAACTGTCCTATCTAGGTTTTGCTGATAGGATCGAACATCCGAAAATATGTCTCAATGCGATATTTGAATTGAACAATTTTTTAGAGCCATCCCAAAGGTTTATGTCTTTAATATGATAAAAGCATCAAATCATTTATTCTCAAACCTTTTTTCACTGGAACTTAGACCAATCTAAAGTGTGAAATACGGATAAATTAGAAGTTCAACTGGTCAAAATTTCAGTTTGTTTAATAATATATTGAGTAAAAAGGTTCCCACTATTCGCGCACCACACCATAATCTTCCTTCAAAAGCTTATCTGCAACGTCTAACGCAAAGAAAAAAAATGAAGAAACTTAGGGGACTGAAGAAAAGTGCAAAGTAATATACTTTTTTTTTTTCGATTTTATCCAATTTCATAGGTGGCTTCCCTTTTGCAGCTCCAACAACTTCTGAAAATAATTTTCCTTCTGTATAGTTTCATAAATAAATTGATAAAATACTAACTAAAAAAAAATACTAAATAAATTGGAACTTTTTAAAATAAATAATATGAAATAATTAACACTGAAAAATGTCTACTATTAACCTTTATCAAGCTTTCGTTTTTTCCAGTGTGTATCATCGTTTACTATTGAATAAGCCATAACTGCAACTCGTTTTTCGTCAATAAAATGGAGATCACCGTATGCTGAAGCTGCATCCGTACGATCAATTCTACCACCACTTTCTAATCGTAAATTTTCCAGCTCTTCCGAAAATTCTGTCTTCAACAGTGAAGAATGTAAGAATGCAATTAAAATATATATACATATATATGAATTATACTAACAGTAAGAAAAAAAAAATTTTCGCTAGCTTTTTAAACCAAAAATTCATCTATTTCACCAGATGAAAAGGAATGATGTACCTGCTTAGATGCAAGCGACCGAACGTCATCGGCAACTGAATGATAGTCATTTACGTGTGATGATACCACATCAGCATCCATATCAGTGTCATTGTCAAAGCCTGCATCTATTTCAGAATTAATATCATCCATACGACTTGCTATCAAACGACCATTAACCGATTCTGATGGTATTGCTGACGGCACTGCTGACCTTGACTGCTCTTTAGAAATAATACTTTCGCGTTCCCAAGCAGATTGCATTTCAGGCCTTCGTATTCTGCAAAATAAAAGCAAATAAAAGTCTACAGTATAATACGACATCAATGAGATAAAACTTTTTTTTTTCAATTCACATAATTTAAATAAATCTACCAACAAAGTAAAAGAAACAGAAAATAAAACAACAGTATCACTGGAATGATTTAATAATATATAATAACAGTGTACTTTAATACTTTTAAAACATACGGTGTCGCAATTGGAATTTGTGCAATTTTTCGTCCAAAATCATCGCCCTTTTTTTTAAACAAACTTTCACCTCGACCAATTCGAAAAGTATCTAGTACTCCTGCCAACGCTTTCTGATCATCACCTGTCATTTTAATAGCATTACGCGGGACTTCAACTTCAATTACACTCCGGAAAACAGGTAAATTGCCAAGCACATTACCACTCTGAAATCAAATTTTCATAAGCAAAAAAAAAAAAAAAAAAAAAAAAAGAAAAAATCGAGATCATAACATCAAGTGAAATGAAAATAAACCTCAGCAGACAAATGTTCAGCTGATCGTGCAAAAAAGTAGTTAAATACAGGATGTTCACCAGGCAGTGACTTCAAGGTTTTTGCTCGAGCTTCATTACTCATATTATCCCATCTTTAAAAGTGAGCCATTTATTAGAATAAATTATTACAAACAAGCAAAAGAAGTAAACAAAAATAACAACAGTCATTGTCACAGATTTTTTTAATCAGACGTTAAACAGTCTTGCTTATATATTTTTTGGTTTTGCATTTTCATGTCTACAACCTTAGATTGCCAAAAAAAGAGACTATTTTAAATTTCAAAACATAAGAAACTTATAGTTATTTAACTCTGTCCAGCATAAAATGATCAGACTCATGCATTCACTTTTTGTGTAAACTAATGTATAACCTCATCTTGCATATTTTCCAACACATCGACTCTTCAAATGGCTCCAATTCATCAGCTATTGGCGCATATGTTAAACCACTTCCTGCATCCGCAATTCTGCTAATATATGATTTTTTTGCTGGAATAATGGCTTGTAGAATGAAACTCCGCCGAACAAATGGATCCACATCTCGCAAGGAGTAGGCCTAAAAGCAGTTAAAGCTACTGAATTGGATTGATGAAATCTACTTTGAAGAACTAAATTTAACTAAACTTCATTTTAGACCATTGAAGTGAATTTCTACAAAGTGATTAAATCAAAAAAAAAAAAAAAATTAAGTAGGATATTGAAAGAATAAACCAAAATTCATAAAAGAAACCATTAAAGCGACGAATTGGCCGGAATTCATGCCAAACTTCTTTTGCAATTGTCTTCTCCACCGAAACAATTCTTTACTACCACAATCGAGAAGTGCATCTTCCAACACAGCTTCTACATTTTTCTGGATTGACTGCATGCTACTGGTACTTGCTGTTGTATCCATAAGAACTGTTGTTTCCTGACTGCTACTTGCATTCTGCAGAAATCGCTATTTCCAATATTTTGCCGAACATAACTAACAAAAGCAAAAAAAAAAAAAGGAAAAAAATCAAACTAAATTTCATAAAGGCTTTAATACTTCTAACGATCGCATTTTCACTACTCAATTTTTCTATTTCTTAAAATTAACCTCCAAAAACGAACACTTCTGAAAACATACTTGTGATAACGTCAATATACGTTCATCGTCATGTACATTATTTACGACACCAGCAACATTTGATTGATTAAGTTTTTCCGAATCTTCGATAGCTTCTAAAACATCGATCAATTTCTATCAACCATTTAGATGGTAGTAATATACTTTCAACGGTCCCATAACGAAATTTAGTGCAGAATGGTGTAATTGAGGTAATGAGTTTGTTTTTTTTTTTCTTTTTATACTTATTTAAGAATAAGAGTACAGTCGCAATGCATTGGAAGATTTTTTTCTTTGGTACATAGTAGAAAATTTTAATTACAACTGCTAAGGAAACGTGAAAACTTAGTAATGGAAATGTACAAATAGTATTTTTAAATACTCAAAGGTTTAACAAAGAAAGCATTACTTATTCGCAAACAATAAGTAGCAATAAAAATTTGAAATAATTGGTGAAAGAAAATTTTAATATCTGAAAAAAGAGAAAAAACAAAAAACGAACTCCAAATTTCATGTAAATCTTCGCCCTCAATTTTCTCATCCCATGGATCACGAATACATCGACCATTATTATGCACCAGGTAACGACGTCCACATTTACTTGTAACAGCATTTTGCATCAAAAGACCGCTTGATGATCCCTCATCAAAGTTGTGCGTTGCCTTATTATACAAGTGGCTACAGAATTCAGCACCTGTTTCAGTGTCGTTTAGTTCGGATGAATCGTATACAACCATTGGTACCTAAAATGACAAGTTCAATCACAAAACCATTTTTAATAAATTCCGTTTTTATTGAGCAGTAAATTAATTTCATTAGTAAGATTAAAATCTAAAGAACTTTAGAAGGACTGATTTATAATGTATCTATCATAATGATCATAGGAAAAAAATTTTTTTTTGCAATTTCTAAGAAAAATTTTTATGTTGCATATGAACTTATAGTTAAGAATCGATTTTTCAACAAAGCAGTGGCGATAAAAAAAAAATTACTGTAATGCATCCTTCGAAAGTGAGACAGAAAAAAAGACGGAGAAAAACAAATAACCTTAGAAAGAAATAACCCATTTGGCAATTGTTAGCTGGGTTTATAAGCAACACTGATCGTTCTATTATAAAGATGGAATTTAACAATTTAAGTATTTGCATATAGAAGTTAGATTAATACATTTTCATGTGAAGCATGCTTACCTTTACTCTTCTTTTTACACAGTTTTCGTGAGATTTATCGCATCTATTCGTGAACTTCGTCACAATTTCACTAGCTTCCAGTACTGTTTGTTCATCTTCCGTCCCGGAAGATGAGTCATCAATATAGATCGGAAAATCAACAGCATCATAGATATCATCATTTTTAGCAGAACCATCTTCCAAACCAATATCAGAATCACTGTTCCCTTCATCCAACTGCCCTTTGTTTTTCGTCTTATCCTTACCTTCCTAAAAGAATTAACATCTACCATTAATGGTTCCAAAATACAAAATATACAAATTGGAACTGCGATAATTTTTTCTCAACACCTTATTATTTACTGGGTAAATCAAACATACAATATATATATATATATATATATATATATATATATATATATATATATATATATATATATATATATATATATATATATATATATATATATATAGAAAGGAAAATATACTTTTTTATCAGTATTTCCTTCATTATCCGAATTCACTTCTTCATTACCGTTATCACTATCGTCATTGAGTGAGATATCCTTCTTATTATTTTTACTGTTATCGAACTGAGATTCTGGAAAATTTTATTTTAGTGAATAGTTTCTTCCATTTAAGAAAAGTTTAATCAGAATTAGCTTACTATCCCCTAACTTTGATCGAACATCATATGCTTCTAAATGCGTAGCATCCACACGAAAGGAATAAATTCGTGCACTTGCATCGAGTAAAGATCCAGCTTGCTAAAAATTTTTTAAAATAGTGCACGTTAACTTCATTACGTGAACTTGTAAAATGCAAATAAAAAAGTAAAATTTTCATTAAAGGTCAACGCTAACATATAGAGGTTCCTTTTCCACAACAATCGGTAATCTATCGATAAGATCTTCCTGGAAAGCACGAGCAGCCAATTGCTTGGCTTTCGTAACAGCAATTTTCATTGCTTCCAGTAAACGTTCATTTTTCGCTGGGTTTTCTAGAATTTCAGAAACTTATTTAAGATTATAGTTCATGTAAAGATTAACAAACAAAAAAAAGCGAAAATGCACTTAACAGTCAGAAGCCTAGTTTAAATGCCGAAAATCTATAAACTGAAGAATTAGTCATTTTTCTAGCGAAAAATAAGAGATTTTTCGTACACTTAAAACAAGCTCATCAACGGACATAAAATGAGTTTTACCTTTCTCAACAGCTCTAGCATTCATATCCATTAAAATTTTCTGCCGTTCCTCATCTTCGTCCTTCTGTGTACGCAAAACTGCCGATTTGCGATGTGAACCACGTCGACTATCTTTTTCCAAGGCATCAAATGTTCGATCAACCTTTAGAAGAGAAAGAAGTAATAAATCAAGTTGTGACCACTCGAAATACAAGAAATTTTCAATTTACTCAGCCCAAGATACAATCAAATTTAGCTTAAACAGCTCATCCTCACTTACTCATTCAGTTAATTAAAAACAAAGAATTTATTAGTTTTTTATTTAAAATTATTAGCTTAAATTGATAAAATGTCTAGAGAACAAATTTACCTCACTATCCAAGTCATCATCATCATTAACACGTATCCGACGTCTTGGCATTGTTATTGTCGTTATTAAAAGATAAGTTGTGACAGATAATTAAAAAGAAAAACAACAATACCCTGATAAGCTCCAGTAATTTCTGTAAAAATTTTAAAATTTAATACCGTTTCTATTCATATTAACATGATGCATTATAACATACAAATATCGCGAAAATAATTGACAACGACAGAGAAATAGATAAACCTCTCGTAATAGTTTTAAACTTTGAAGTGAAATAAAAAAAAATTTAAGCTAAATATACAAAAAATTAAAAAAAAAATCTGATGCATTAACAATTAATTCAAACATTAGTTATTCTATGAATATCTGTACCAATTGCCATTATAGTTTTTATTTTGACTTAATCCTCAGATCATCCATCTTTACGATATAAACTGATGCAGATGTAAACTAAAAGAATGAAATAAAGACATTAAAAAAAATTCAAATCCATTTCTTAATCACTATGTTATATTCATATAATCAAATTAACTGTGACGTATAATTCATTTCTAGTTTTGCTCTTTTTTCGTTTTCTCGCCGTCTGTTTTTTGTTTTTTCTCCCTTTCTTTTAGATTTTAAATTATATTCGAATGACAGTAATTTTAACTTTCTCTATATTCAAGAACACTTTTCCCGTTTCCAATATTTTTTTTTCCTGAGTTCCTTTTGGATATCTAAATCCTTCCTAACGCATACTGCAAACATATTTGGAATAATTTTCTCCAACTGACTTTGCGCATTTTTTCTTTGGAAATTAATCCGGCATATTTCTTCCTGACATTCAACTTTGTCACCCCGTATATCCTAAGCTAAAAGTACGTCAGCAAACTACAAACATTTTCCGGCCGGTTTAATTCTCCGCCTTTCCGGTTTCCATGCAAATATCCAGGATGTTACTTTATTAGTTCGTCACGTAGTAAGAATTTCTGCGTGAATTGTACTCTACCAAACGTGACCTGATAAAGGAAAAAGGAAATATCACGAGAAGTGAAAATACACTGACGTTCAAGAATATTTTTCAATGCGATGTATTTGTGTCGCGTAGCAGAGTGGAAAATTCAAATATTTAGAGACTGTTGCAATAGGAGAGACATTAGGAGTTGATCATATAAAAAAGAAGCACTGGAATAATTGCGAAGGAGAATGAAACAGATGATATAGTGTCCGAAATGATGAGAGAGTAAAGATGTAATCATTAAAATATAATGTGTTAAGAGATGTAGACAAGAGCTAGATAGTTCTGCATTAAAAGTTGTAAGAAAGAATGGAAGTAATACGGAACATAAAACTGAGAGGCAATTTGGGCTAAGCCGAAATGACACTGAAGCATTTGGGACGTTTTTCGTGTGAACTTTACGTGTTACGTGTCGTCTGCGTGGGTTGCGAGCTGTATTGCGTAAATCTTGCTTCAGTGTAATTGTTACGTAAATCGTATGTCATTGTAAGTTTTAATGTTATTTCAGCAACATTGTTACTCATTGTCTAAAGTTATACGTCAATCACATACATTTCATAAGTAGGTTCCATATTATGGCAATTCTGAAAAAAATCATATGGGAATTAATTGTGCACACTTTGAATTACGTCAGTCACGCACGTCAGTTTTACGCTATTTAAGTGGGTTACACACTGTGAGAAACATAGGTTACAGCCGAATTGCAATTTGCATATGAATTACTTTTTTTCCCATATATTTACTTCCTGCAATAATTTTGCAAATTTCTGCAGAAAAATTTAAACTCAGCTAGAAACAGTGACAATAGTAAGAGTTCGAAAACTGTGGTATGTCTGGTATTACAAAACTTTAATCTCCACGTTTTTACTTTCGTTTGTCCTCTGTTACATGGTCATGAAAGTTCACAAAAATGATTCATACTGGTCGTCTATTTGCTGATTTTGTATTATTATTTTTATATTTTCTACTTTTATCAAGGAGTCTTCTGATACATGCAGTAAATAAAGAATTCCTAATTTGTCATTTCTAATTGATGCGCTCTTCTTCTAGCTTAATCTGTAGCTTTTCTGATATTTTATTGCTGTTTTAATTTTTGAATAATGCATAACTTTATTTTCAGGATGTCATCCATGGAAGTGATCAAATATCTATTATTGCTACTTCAACAGGGTATCCAACTATGTTTAACTTATAAAGCAGTCGATGAATCGGTTTTATTTAGGTTTGAAGCTTCGAAAAATTGTCTTCTAGATAATAAAATTAATTAAGTTCTAAAAAGCTAATTAAATCGTTTCGAATCAAGTTTCGAGCATCAGTACAAATTAGTGCATAGAGAATAATCTAATGATGTGGCTTTTGATGCATATGATATAGATATTTTGCATAATGCAACAGATAAATAAGTTCTGAATCCAGCAATGGTCAGTGTAAGTTGAAAACGCGACATCGAAATATTTCAGTAAAATGGATGTTATCCAAATTCATCATGAGATATATGCAACACCACAATATTGTCCTTAGTGTAATGATTCATGTAATAAAAAAATGTAATAAAAATTTATCGCAGATTGAGTTATTCGGTATTTTTTGTCGTAAATATTGCATGGAAATATTTAGGATAGACTGGAAAGGCAAATCGGCAACACCAGAATATCTTGTTAATGTTAAAGATGATTGGTTAACGAATCAACCTTACCTACACGTAACGAGTGGTAGTGATGAAAAATATCTCTGTACGCTACCAATCATTCCAATTGAGGTTTCTGTTTTTTTTTATGTTCTATGGTATCACTTGAAAGCATTACAAAAATTTTTTATTAAGTTCTACCTTCATTGATGTAATGTGCCGAAATAATTTAAAAATGTCTTTTTTTTTTCGAAATTGTATTTGGAATTTTTGTTATTTTAGCACTTTCAGAGATCGTTTACTTAGGCGTAAGAGATTTTATTTACTCAACAAATATAGTAGTAATTTTTATGCAGTTTTTTTGTTGCTTTCAGAATAAACAATCAGTGCATTCATATGTGGGACCATCACCAGCTGAACTTATCCAATCGTTGTATGATAATCGAGTATGCTCATATTGGTTAGATGTATATTGGACATATGAATTGTGCCATGGACGCTATATTATGCAGTATCATGATAATAGAGAACAAAGAAGTATCAGGAGTGAATATTATTTAGGAAATTATGGTCGTGAACAATCCAGATTGGTACCATTTTCAAGCTCTTTTTTTTTTTCGTATTTTCCTTTTTTTTTCTTTTTTTCAGTTTGCTTTTCTTTCGATTTTGAGTGTAAATTTAGTGATTATGATTAAACTGATTTGTTGTTACTGAATAAAAAACAACATAGGTTTAACAGGTGCACTAACTGATTTCTTATTTCGTCCTTGAAATCGATTCATTCTTGCTCAATGCATTATTTTAGTATTATTTTACCAATGATGAAAAGAATACTTAATTTTGACTGACAGTTTTTCAGGATGATAAGAATTTCGATCAAATAAATCCACCAAAACGCAAAATTGATAGCAAAGTGCAGCCTTATTATCCAGTTACTTACAGACAAGGAACCGTTTGCGATTTAACCGGGAAACCAAGGAGTACGACTGTCATATATGCCTGCGAACCGGTTTGTATATATTAAAACTTCAAAATATTTAAGTAAAAAAGACGTAAAACGTATTCTACTTTTTTTTTTTTTTTTTTACCATTTACCATTTTTACCATTCACGTAACATATTGAAAGTCCTATTTTTTACCATTTCTGAACTTACCTAGATCATATTAGATTCTTGCAACTCCAAAGGAAAATTATCGAGTGGTCCATATCTATTTAATATCCATTTAATGAAGCTGTAGGTTACCTTAATTTTCAAATATTTTCAGGATGGCAAGGATCAAATATATTCTTTTGCTGAAACAGCTTCTTGTACTTATGAAATGATTGTATTCACCAAACAGTTATGCTCTCACCCATCTTTTCGTCCACTGCCTACTGTTGATCATGAAATTGTTTGCTACTCGAAGGATCCGCATAAAGAATTTCCGAAGCCAAAGCAACTTTTGCAGCTTGAAAAAGAGAGTGAGACAAGATTGGAAAGAGTAAGTTTGAAATGAATATTTCTTAGATTTGCAAATATCCGGTTTGTGATTTAAATGCTCTCGTTTGTTTGGTTTTTACCATCCATTTAGGTGCTTTTCTGCGATAGGATTAGATAATATTTTTTTTATCAAGTTTGAAGATATCAGTTTTTTTTTTTAACTGAATCATTTAATTGTCTCTTTCAGGAATATAAGTCAACTCTTCAGCTTGAAAGACCTTCTGCAAATGTTAACATTAATGGAAAAGACGAAGATAATGGAGAATATGATGATGAATTAGATGCGGCAATTAATGTAGCCAAACAAGCATCGCCAAAATCTGACAGCTCACGATACAGTAGGTTTACCTTCTCTTGATAATGACTAGCTCATTAGAAGAATATGAAATTTACATATTTCTGCACAAACTTTTATTAACTTCTGTTGATTTTTGTATGACAGTAATTTTGTATTGCTTAATATTGCTCTTATTAATCTCTTTTTTACGTTCATTGCTTCTTTTCTAGTATCCTCAGCAATCCCAATGGTAAAACCGGCGACCAATATGAATATGGATAGTGTGCTTCAGGAAAACAGATATTTACTAAGTGGGAAGCACTGTTTGTATGGTGGTGGCATAGGATGGTGGAAATATGAATTTTGTTTCGGGAAAAGTGTAAGTTTACATATAGATTTGAGGATTTTGTTCTGATAATTCCATGTGTTTTTCATTGATTTTAATTAGTTGAACTGTAAACAATGATCTTGAGTCAAGAGAATTAATAAATAAAAATTAGTTATAAAGTAATGGAAATGGAAATATTGCAGGTAATACAGTTTCACGACAATTCTCAAGGTGAGCGAACTGAAATTTTGTTAGGTCTTTTCAACCTTGATATACATAAACATTGGATTGACGATAATCCTCAGAAGAAACCATTAAAGGTTACTTTTTTTGGTCTCACTGAGGTATTTCTAGAATAAGCTGTCAAAATGACCTACCATGACAACTGATCCAATCGTGCTTAGTGTTATATTTAAAGTCAAGGCTATAATCAGGTCGAAAAAAATGTTACAGATTTGTAGATGATTATCAAAGAAATATCGAGATTTATCGACAAAATGATTTACTGCATGGAAAAGTCTTCATTTTATTTGGTCTATTGTTCTGCTGCATTAACTAGTGAAATATTTTCATTCAAACTGTTTCAGTGCGTTTATGTTCTTTATAGATTGACGGTCGGATAACTCAGGTCTCACACTTGTATGCAGGTGGTGCATTTTGCGAGAAGACTAACATTCACAGGTTTATTTATTTATTTTAATCTTTGAGTCTTATTTGAATATATGACAAAATTTTCGGGCCCTTTAGTTTAAATCTAGCAAAAAAAGAAAAGAGAGTGGAACTAGTATAATTTCAGAAGTGTTGAAGTACGTATTCGTTGTCGAATATCGAAAGGAAGTCAAACGGCTGTAACACTTTACTTGTTGGAGCCTCATACATGTCAGTATATTTTGGGAGTGGAGTCATCTCGTTTTTGTGAATTGTTGCAAGCTGTTGATCAGTATGGGTTGATCCAACTGCCAGAAGTGTAAAGCAAACTGTGATCAGCTGTGGTATGGTCAAAAGAGAGTGTTAAGGGATTGGGGTAGGTCGATCTTCTAAGTGGAAATCTTTTTGGCGAAAGTAAGTTTTACCTCGTCATTTCATTATTATTTTTAGAGCATTTTATGATTTAAAAGTCCAGAATTTAATTAGATAATGGTGTTTTCGTTGTGTCTATTAAAGCAGTCTTTATTTGGGTTTATCATCTAGATTATACGGTCTTTCAATGTAATATTTTTTAACCTTATAGAGACATGATCGCGTGTTTGTCGATATCTGTCCATCGTCCCTAGTTGTTATTTTGAAAATATTGCAACAAAAATTTGTTTTTAAGTAATTTTTCTCAGTTATTCAGAGGATTTAATGGTTGCCGGTTAAAGCTAAAAGTTCGTCACAATATATTTTGCTAAATTTGCTAAATTCAGATTTACTTTCCTTTTATCTTTAATTTCCACGCGACCACTGTTCATTCCATTATTTACTGTGATCTATGTAAGTGATATTTGTTGTTTGATTGGTACATTGGTTTTCCTAAACAACAATGAATTTAAGATTTTGTAACGGTTTGGAAAACTTACTGTTTCCATTACATAATTTTTTTTTTTTTTGGACACTTTGATTTAAGCAGTTAGTTTTTGTTGTTTTATCTTTGGGTGGTGGTTCTTTTTGTTTTTAACAACTTTAGGCATGATATAGCTTTTTCACAAGCTGTAATAAAAGTTTATCTTCAAATGTTTGTAAATTAATGTGATTCGGACCAGTGCCTTCATTTATAAATATTCATTTCATCATGGCCGTAAGATTCTCTTCTTTGTAAGTTTGTACATACAATTATTTTCCTTATAGTTTCTTGCATTCTTTCTCTTTCTCAAGAAAGTCTTTATTTGTGTTTATAAGTTGTGTCTGTGATTTTCGGGAATAATATTTTATGTTTAAATTTGGTATTAACGGCCTAGAAATCGTAATCTAAAGATTAGTGCGTAATTTAGATTTATTTTAGAAGTTTCATCACTAATTTCCTCGTTCATATGTTTATTTCTTGCTTCAGAGGAAAAAATATGTAAGCTATTTGAAATATGAATTTTTTTTAAATTCAGCTGTTTGCATTTCATTTTGAAAATGAGAAAGGAATGTCAAAATATTCATTATAATTGTTTTAATTAGTGTTGAATTATCCCATTGGAAATTTACTGCATAAAATCATTATATAATTGAAGAGATGATAGCTGTAAAAAGAGTTAATCAAAATTTTTTTAGATTTTTGTGCAGCAATTGTTTGATAACTTTGTTCTTACTGGTCTTTGCCATGTGATATTTCACTAATTCGATGTTGAATTATTTTACAAGCCAGTTGCGTTAATTTTATTTGGTTTTTACTACATGCTGCAAATAAATTTGATGCATATGAAAACGAAATAGTGATTTGTGGTCTTAGGTTGCAACCTATTTTTAAAGAGTGTCGCATCCTTCATTATTTTCGGGATTTCAGTTTTCGGCTTGTTTCAGGTTCCAGGGATGGGTGGTTCTTAAAACTTTTCCAAAGAATTTGGTTAAATTTTCCAAAAATTTCAGTAAATTATGTCGTACGAAGTATCAGGAGAATCTAAGGGTAATGAGAAAAATCTACCGGTAAAGGATAAAGATAAGTGTACGGAAGAAAAAGATGACAAGAACGCGATAATAGCTGGTTTACAGCAACTTCGTGAGCAGCAAAGAAATATTGTAGTGGAGTTAGCACGAGTAGAAGACGATAAACGTGAACATGAGTATGTTTACTGTTTTTAAGGCTAAGTTAGTTTAAATCTTGGAGCACATCTTAATTTCCATTACTTTATTTATTTAGTTACTATTTTTGAATTTACTTTCTCATCTTACTTTTCAGCATTTCCCCAATCTCAGAGAATGAAAAAAAAGCTTTTGTTGCAACATTTGTTTATTCTATTTCCTCGATTTTTGGTTTGATAAGCCTACTAGCACAATGTGTTATAAAAATGATTGTTTTTGCTTGCTTCAACTTAAAATTCCCTTCTTTAATTTAGAATTTCTTCAGTAATTTTTCTTTGTCTGTAATCTTTTTTGTTTTATTTAGTTTTGGCTTCTGAAGTCTTAAAATTTTGATAATAATGATTAACAAAGCATTAACAAGAAACGTTCTAGACGTGTGATTCAAGTGTTAAAAAAGATGGAAGGTGATAGAAAATGCTTTCGAATGGTAGGCACAACTTTAGTGCAGCATGAAATTAAAACTGTATTGCCCATTTTGGAATCTACATTACAAAATGTAAGTCCTTTTTGCTAACATGCATTCATCTGATAGTGAAAATTTGTTAATTTTGTTACATAAATTATTCTGTTACCATAAATAATTGTTAGATTTCGTGGTGATAGCAGTTATGATATATTCGCATTCATATTAGTATAATTTTCTTTCAAGTCAATTTTGTCGATCAAGTTGAGAGAAAGAAAGAATAATAAGATTGATGATTAACTATCATCATGATCAACTAAGAAAATTAAGAATGATCATTGGCAGGCGAGTTTCCTCCAAAATGTATTTATTAATATTTCATTGAAGAAAAAAAGTGGCTGAACAAATGCACCAATTCTTTGTTTTTGTTTTTTTTTAGCTGGATACATTAGTGAATTCAATGAAGGATAATTTGATAGAAAAAGGTAAAGAATTGCAAGAATATACGGAAAAACATAAAATTCGTTATGTCACTGAGAAAGAATTGAGGGAAGAATCTGAACGTAACATGAAAAAATGATGACAAATTAGTAATAAATTTTCATTATAGTGCCAAGGAATTTATTACTTAAAATATAGTCCTCTTTTTACGAAGCATGTGAAATCAGAATTTAAATGATATTTTTAATGAACCTTCGAACTGTTGAGGAGAGGGAAGTGAGATAGAAAGAATGGCTGATAAGAAATGCTTACTAGTTGTGACTCATTATGTAATATTAGCCTTTTGCGATGGTACTCAGTAAAATTTGGGCTTACAAATTTTATTTTCAAATTTGAGTTCTGAAGTGTTTATTACTGATTTGTAGTTTTGATCATTGGGTAATGATAGTATCAGTTCAATGGTACTTTTATAAAAGCAAACCAGATCTCCCTTTCTGAGTTTGGATGTGGAACTAATTTTCCCCGGGAAAAATAATTACAAAAAGAAAAGAAAACAGAAAGAATTAGATTTATATTTAAAGACGCCTAGTGAATTAGCGGTATGTTTTAACTAATGGATTAAAGTAAACAAATTGGATATTCATCACCATTCTTCGGTTTGTAAAATTGATGTTGCTAGTTACTTTGCAGTTATAGCTTCAAAAAATATTCGAATAGTTTAAATTGTTGATGTCAAGATTGTCTAACATTTAGAGAATGTATAAAACTGGGTCAAGTAAGTATAAATGGTTAAGTATTAAGCATATACAATAATATTGTCATTGTAAGCTCCATTTTTTTCATTAATTCTTAAATTTATTTTTACATATGCTTGGAATATCTATGTTCAAATTTTTTCCCACAGTTTTTTCTCTGTCTGATGTAAATATATGAAATGAAATGTTTTTGTATTACGTCTGTTGGAATTTTCTCTTTTATCTATAATTATTATGATAAAAATTGTATTGTGGTATTCTTCCAAAGACATATCTAAAATCATTTTTAGCTTGTTTCCAGTTTATTTTATATTTCATCTAAAATTGATGGAATGGATGGGTGATGGCATGCTTGATCTTCATTTACTCAGGTAGTAGTGATTCGTCGAACTGTTCATCGTCAAAAGATTCCATATTTCCGGTTTCTGGACGTCGTATACTTGTTCGTGGCCGAAGTGGTGCTGGTCCAAGAGGATCATTGTAAGCATAATCTGCTGGACCTGTAATTCCGTAAATGTTAAAATTTCAATTCTTTAAGTAAATAAATAATATAAATATAAAAAATATCGAAAATAATAGATGACATACTCATTTCTCGACGTGACATGTGATATTGCTCATCGTCATCAGACATTAGGCGAATGTTTGCTGTTTTCAGTTGTGAGCGTGAATTAGGTCGTCCACCTAATATAAAAGTGTGCGTTAAGATTAGTGCGTATATGAGATTACTTGAAATAACTAAGTAAAGGTCGAAGGTCAAAGTACACTGAAGTTTCGCGTCGAATCATATTAGCATATGTATATATGCCATCTAAATAGAAGTGCTCAGAATATTATTTGAGAATTCCCTCATATCACTTCGGTAGAACGAAAGTCTAGTATTGAAAACATCATTGCACATTTTGAAATGACGAGGATCCGAACTTCGAGGTACTCATTTACTACCACAATTCGAAACCAATACACTAATATCTCGTGAATGCAACGTTGGAATTAAAAAAGTCTAAGTAAAATATTAATTTTAAATTTTAAATAATAATTTAAATAATAGTATCAGTTCAGTACTTTAACTATACTTGATACATTCTATTGTGTCAAATCACTTTAGAGTTATTTGCTAATATTACTATTTTTACTCTCCTTTTTTTTTTTAAATTAAAAAAATCTCACATATTACCATTATATTTATTCTTCTACTTATACAATTTTTCAAAAATAAAAACAAAAAAGATTAAAAAATAAATGAATAAACAATAATAAGCACAAATAAAAAAATATATAATTATGACTAGGAGATATAATAAGAAATATATATATATATATATATATATACAATTAAATATAATGTAAAAAGAGATATAATTATCAGTGATTGACATACGTGAAATACCTTGCGTGAAATTATCTGTTGATTGAATTAAAGGTGTATGATGCCTTCCTTGACTAGAATCTACTTCACGTTGCATTCTTAATTGACGTACTTTTTCTGTCTTCGTTAACTTTAAAAAAAAAATTAAAAAATTAAAAATAATAGAAGAAATAAAAATAGCACAATAGCATGAAAAATTGTTACTTAGATAACTAAGTAGTGATAAATAATTAATAGTATCTTAATAAGATAATTATTTAATTATCTTAGCGCTATCAAAAAATGATTAATGATAAACAAGTTAGGATTAGTTAAATGCATTAATTGATATAAATTAATATCAATAATACTATTATTTGTATCTATGCTAAAAATTGAGGATTAAATAAGAAAAATATTTGAATAAATATAAATAAATCTATTACAATTTAATTTTATGCTTGAATTTAAGGTATTTAAAATTTTCAAAATAGAAGAATGAAAGGAATGAAAATGAAGCACAAAGGAAATAATATTTTTAATTTTGGAAAATTTTCTATTAACCAAATAGAAGACCTTTTCCATGTATTCCTTAGTTTCAGGCATTCCAAGATCGGTGCATATTCTTACCAGAAATTTTAAACCTGAAGTCAAAATTATAAAAAAAAAATTTTTCCGGTCGCAGAAAATAGATTTCAAATTTTGCAGTAATAATATAAACAGTAAATAAGAAAGGCAAACATTCGATATTTTCCGGAAATCTTTTGTGTATTTGTTGATAAAGCTCAAATGCTTTTTGATAATTTCCGGAACGTCGTAAACATGATGCCATCATCAACTGCCATTTAATTTCATTTGGCCTAAATTTCCTTCTTTTCTTTCCTTCTTTTATATGAAATATCAGTATGAATCAAAGTAACAAATAGAAAATCATAAGATTAAAATTCGACAATTCAATATTTGAAATTAAAAATTCCAAAAGTGGTTTGTACAATTCGATAATTTGATGCTTAAAATTAGAACTATCAACATTCAAATAACTAAATTGTTTTACGGAAACATTACGATATGCAAAGATCAAATAATTAATTATTTACTCCATAATCGATGCTTTTTCAAAATAAATTGCTGCTTTTTCCGGATATTGTGCATCGATATAATAAGCTCCAAGCCATTCAATTGTAGAAATATTAGATGGAAAATATCGATAACTCTAAAATTTCCATTTTATTTTGTTTTATTTATTAAAATCAAAATACACAAATGAAATGTGTAATATTTCTAATTGAAATTTTAAACAAAAGTTTCTATTTTTTAAATTAAATTACATTTTCAAACGATTGGTGACAAATGAGCATCGCAATTAACTCCATTCAATTAAATAACAAATGTGATTAAATTTTTTTTTCGTCCTATCTATTATTAATTAAATTAATAATATCGTTGTAAGATTACAAATTATTGCTATGTTACTAAAAAAAATGGATGGTAGGAAAGTTTCGGTTGGTTAAATGTTAAATTTCAATTAAATTTAGGTGAAGAAAAAGGCACAGTTCTAGAAATATGGCTGATGGCTAACTGTTGATGCTTACCAAAAGTATTTTTATCATTTATCATTAACTTATCATTTATCATAACATTTTACTGATTTGTATGCAAATGATACTGAAAGTATCATTCGGAAAAAGGCCTTTCTTGAAGCAATCATGTAAAGCTAATGATAAATTAAAATTGTCTAATTTTTCGATTATATATTAAAAATGTACAATTTATATGTTTTATAATTAATTTCTACTCTAATTTAATTACTTTTTCAAAAAATTTCATCCCTAATTTATAGTAATTTATTCAAAAACAATTTGAGAAATATTTTAAAAATTCAAAAATCATACATCATAATAACACTGAAAAGCTTGGCTTTTATCACCTTCGGCATCATAAATATTAGCCAATTTTGATAATATCGCTGGGTCTGTAGGAGCTAAGCTATTTGCTTGACTGTATAATTCGATTGCTTGTGCTGTATTCTTTAATAATTCATATCTGTAATTCATTTTTTAAAAATTAATACCATAAAATATTCATATGTAATTCATTTCACTCTCTCAAACATAATTTATATAATTTATGTTAGATCAAAAGAAAAAAAAACTATTTAAAATAATTTTTTTACAAATTTTTTTTGGAATAATTTTATAATTATCAAATCAAAATTTAATCAACTAATTATTTCATTAAAAAAAAAAAAAAAACGATGAAAAAATTATTGCTTAAAAAAAAAGCTTACATTGAAGCAAGTTGACATAGCACTTGAACATTATTTAATAAAATATTATGCAATTTGTAAAAACATTCCAATGCTAATTCTAAATTTCCTTGCAAACGATGAACATAGCCAAGATTATAAAGTGCTTGCAAGCACGATGCCTTTAATGTGTATTTAAAAATTTAAACAAACATTTGGTTTTATTATTATTAAATTATAGCTAATTTATATAATATAATTAAATTCATATGATTTCATATGATTATTTTAATTACATATAATTATTTTAGATGCTTACAATGATTTTAAATTTAAGAAAAAAAGAAAGAAGTATCAATTATAACGATTATTTATTAATTATTATTTGATATTCAAATATTCCATAATTACATTTTATTTCTTTTCTACCAACACAAATTTAATTCTCTTCTTTTTTTTCCCTCTAAACAAGCATTTTCCTTTAACAGATTTTTCAAAAAGCAAAAATAATTTGAAAATTTAATAAGTTGAAGCAATAAATCATTTAATTAATTATTTGGCTAAGCTAAAATATATTATCCAATGATAATATTAAAGTTAGATCAAATCAATTTGCAAATATTCCAGAATATCTACAATTAATATAATTAATATCATAAAAGCACCATTAAATTAACTTAAGTAATTTATTTGTCATCCTTACTTCATTACTTAATGCTTCTTTATAGTACTGTGCAGCTTTATCTAGATCTCCCAGAATGAAGAAAATATTCCCGCGATTTACCAATGCATTAGCATTATAACGATCAATGGAAAGTGCTTGTTCAGAGTATTGCACTGCTTCTTCTAATTTTGGTGTTCCTTGCTGAAAATAAAAAAATGTATGATTTAATGGATATTTCTTGAAAATTAAAATTTTAATTTACAATTAAGGAATATGTGATACAATCAAAAAAAAATTACTAATAAGGAGTAATTGAGTAAAAATATTAATAATTGCTAAGCAAATTAATTTTTAACTAAAATATACATAGTTCAAATTTTTAGTATTTAAGAAAGCAGTTACTAACTCTTTTTGCAAAAATTTAAATTAACAGTTACTTTAAAATTAACAAACACAATAATTTAAATGAAGTTCAAGCCTAAATAAATATAGGTTTAAATGAAATGATAAAATTTAAACTAACTAAAAGATTGATTACAGCAAGATTATTTGCTGCTGCTCCTGCTACCTTATCTACTTTATTGTTGAATGACATTAGGACCTAAAAATTTTCTTCTTAAACAGTTAAATTCTAAAACTTATACAAAAAGAAGCGAAAAATTAATTAATGTGTTTAAATTACACATTTCATTTTAATCAAAATGACCGCAATCAATTTTTGCATTAATTTATTATCAGGAATGACCAATGGTCAAATCATTTTGTTTCTTCGATATTTAGCACTGCATTAATTTAAGTGTGAAAGTCAGAATTAGCATACTTCTGTTGCATTTTTTATATCACCTTGTTTAAGTAATACAACCACTTTACTCATTTCAATTTCCATTGCTAATGGTGCATAAACCGATTGCCGAATTGCTTCCACACACCATTTGTAACCATCGGATACTCTGAGTTTAAAAAATTTTTAAGTTTTAGGAAGAAAAAAAAACTGACAGACATCATTTTAAATATAAAAAAAAGTTGCCGATAAATTTATTTTCAAAACTCTGTCATTAATGAATGCAATTAAAGGTCTAATTAATATTCAATTTTGATTAAATTTAATTTTCAAAAAAAAAAAAATCCATCTAAATCACTGAAATTTATTTGCTTAAGAATCAAATTGAATTCTCAAATTTCATCCTAAATTTTCTGACAATCATTAAGGAAAGATAAAAAAAATTAATTTACGTTGGTGCAATAACTGATGAAAGAATTTTTGTAGCAATAAAAATTGTTTTTTCTGCAATATTTCGTCGTTGACGTTCCCATTGCTTTAACGAATCGTTGCTAATCATTTGTGAAATCAGGAAATCTTGATGATCCTGAAAATAGAGAATCCGGTTAAATAGTTTGTACTTGGTTAAATGCAGTTTGATTGAAACTTCACTGTATTCCTGCAAATGTAGCATTCATAATTTTACCGAAATTATATAATCAAAAGTATCAATCTGTAATATTTTAAAAATTGTTTAAATAAGAATCCTCAAAATATTGTGAATGTCGGTGGCTTTCTTAATATTTTCCAAATTGTTAAATGACCAAATGATATTATTTGTTTGATAAAATAATTAATTGTTGAATAATAGCATTCGTTACTGATTATTATTTGCAAAGTTTAAACATTAAAATTATTAAGAATTCTCTAACAGATTATATATTATATAATCAATTATCAAACAATATTTGTTAATCATAATAAAATCAATTATGCGACAATATTTACTATTGATAAAAGAAGTAAATATTTTTTAATATATCCATTACTGATAATAATTTATAAATTTCAAATGCAACAATAACTTTATTATTTGTTGTATAAATAACATAAATTTATTATTTTTTAATTGCAAATTATTACTGTTATTTATATATTGATAAATGTAACATCAATACTATTCATTATTTATTAATTACAAATTTGTTATTCATAATTACAACTTAATTACAATTTGATAATTACAATTTTATTATTTGTAATATAACTAATTAAAACAAGCTTATTATTTTTAATGTAAATAATTGAAACAAATTTATTATTTATAATATAATTATTCACAAATTTATTGTTTATAGTTTCAATTTAATTAAACAAAATAAGAAAGCAGCCAACCATATATTTCGCTTCTTCATCACTCAAAATTGGTATATCCAATAATCGTTGAAATCCATCCTTCATCTTATCGATATCATTTAAACAGTATGCAGTAAGAATGAAATTCAGCGCTGTATTATAATTTCCTTTTTCGTTCATACAATGCTCGAATGTACTGTCTGCTTCATCATATTCACCACATTTTATAAATGATACACCAATATTATTCATTATTTTAATCCTATAATAATATCATTAATCAATTAATTAATTCATTTCATTTTTTAAAATTTTATTTATTAAACCAAAATTATGTTTCGAGATTTTTTATTCACTCACATTTACAATTTTATGAAATAAAGAGAAAAAGAAAAAAAAAATCAAATTTTGATAAATGGAATAATTAAATGAATATTTAAACTAAATAAAAACAAGAAATATTAAAGGAAATTGTAATAAATTCAAAACTTTTTTTTTATTTTTCATTTTTATCTGTTATTATAATTATAAGATTTTCTTTTTTTTGCAAAAATTAGTGTTATAGTTTTATAAATAAGATTTCTCTTCTTTTTTCTCTTCCACTCTCTCTCCCTCTCTCTCTCTCTCCTTATCTCTATCTTCCATACTTTAATATATTTTTTAATCAATTTTTAAATCATTTTACCTGGTATTTTTCTGTGAATTTGGTACTTGATCCAAAGCAATTTGATAAAGTTTAATAGCTTTTTTATATTCTTTTTGTTTAAAGTAAATATTAGCAATGTTTGCTTTTAAGCGACCCGAATTAACAAACATTTTGTTTTTCACAATCATTTGATAAGTATTCAATGCTTCTGTCAATAAATTATTCGCCATATACTATAAATTATTAAGTATTAAAAACAATTTTTCAAATTAATATCAACTATTTCTTCTGAAATAGTTCGCTAATTTTCCAAATTTCAAATATTCATACATAGAATGATAATAGCAAATAATAATAGAAATAATAATGATGATAACAGCAATAATATTAATAATAATAATAATAATAAATAGTTAGAGAGAAGGAATAAAAGAATAATAATTTAATCTATAAATTCAACAAACAATTATTTAGTATAAATTCTATTTATGTAATTAAAATTAAATTTAATTACTACATATACCTGATGAGCTAAATTAAATAAAACTGTAAATGTAAGATCTAGATTGAGCTGTTCTAAAATGGATAATTGTTCACGCATCTTTACAATAGTACGTTCACGTCGACCCGCTTCTTTGGCCTTTTCAAGTGCCTACAAAGTTTTATTTAAAATAGTTTTTTTCCCACTTATCAATTATTTTTAATTTATTATTTACTAATTAAATATCACTTAACAGTTTTAACGATTATTATTTACTGAAATTGTTTGAAAGAAAAAAAAAGTAATCGGAACTTGTATTATCAATTGATTAGAATAATTGGTGTACATTGCAAATTAATAAACAAATGTAGTGATAATAGCAATGATAATAATAATAATAGCAAACAGCAATGACCTGTTTCATGTCACCTTTTTCCCATGCAAAAATACTTTCTTTCAAAAGTTCATTTACTTTTTGTTCCATTTGGCGACATTTCTCTTCATGACCCATCTCAGGTGACTTTTCCGCCATTTTCATCTTTAATGGATTGAAAGAGATCCCTAAAGGTAATCAAATCAATAATGCATATTATCATCATAAACTTATAATGAATAATAGAAGAAACAACAATGTTCCAAAGAAAACGAAAAAATTTTGATCAGAAATACTATGAAAATTTTTCAGTCTAATTTAATGATTTTTAGTCTAATTTGTCTTGAATTTAAAGATCCTTAGTCTAATTTGACTTTAGTTTAAAGATTCTCAGTCCAATTTGAAAGAGATTCGAATAGCATTTCACGTCACATTTCACGTTAATATACCTCGACCAGCTGACGAATAGCCAGCACCTCGTACAGCGGTCATCGGCACGCTTGCGTCAATTCCACGACGTGAACCAATGGAAGATCGTAGCATTACGCCATTCATGGTATCGGCACCCGTACCCGATCTATGACTTGATATTATGCTATTAATACGACTGCTAGATGTTGCAACAGGTATGATTCCTAGACGTGACATTGAACTTTTCTGAAAATTTTCATTTCATTAAAAAGTATATTTTGATTGTGTCAAGAAAAAAAAAAAGAAAAGTTTATGTTATTGTTTTATTTCAAGTTAACTTGAAATTCATATTTTTACATAATTCAAATCTAAAATTAAAATAATTCAACCACAGTTTTTTCTTTTTGAAATCCATTTTCTTTCAAAAAAATAGAATAACGAATAATTTTGTATTTTTTTACAATCATTTGAAGTAAAAAAAAAGTGAAAAAGAGAAAGACGTAAGAAAAATTAATTGATACCGGTCGTCTACCATAACTTGATTTAGCTATAGCTTCTTGAAAAACTTGATCACCAAGAACATTCTGCAAATTTATTAATTTAATTCAAATCTTATCAATAATTTTTTATTTCTTCAAATAAAAAGAAAATTCTTAATTATTATCTTAATTAACAATTAAAAAACAATTAAAAGATCTTACCTGAACGTCATATGCGTGATCATAATCGTTAAACCCTTCGTAACGATCATCCATTTTTGTCTCTTCCCTAAGGTTCCACGCAATACTGGCAACAGCAATACCTCTTATTTATTCCACTCTTCACCATGACAACAACGCCATTCTATACAAACGGATTCCCTTCTGTGGTGCTCATTTTTATAGTTTAAATATTAAAATACGCTTTTGTTATTAAGTTTTGCGCAGGAATTCATCAGCAAAATTAATAAAACTTTCAATTAATCATGGTTTTAATCCATTTTAAGAAATAAAATTAAATTTTATTTCAAATTTAAATTTTGAATTTTTTAAAAATCTTAAAATTTGTACAATTTTTGTACATTAAACAAGGAAATTGGTTCTAGATTATCAATTTTAATTTTAATTAACCGCTGAATCAGCTAAAAATAGCAATTAATTTAAAGAAAAATAGATATTTAAGACTTAGTTGATCATTTCATATGCATTGCACCAGAGCTGGTCATATATGATGTGGTCATTTTATAGTTTAAATATTAAAATACGCTTTTGTAGTTAAATTTTGCGCAAAAATTCATCAGCAAAATTAATAAAACCTTCAATTAATCATGGCCTTAATTCATTTTAAGAAATAAAATTAAATTTTATTTCAAAATTAAATATCAAATTTTATGAAAATTCAATAATTTGTTAGAGTTTTGTATATTAAACTATAAAATAAATTCTAATAATATCAAAAATTGATTTTTATTAAATGTTAAAATATTAAAAAAAATCAATTCATTGAAAAAAATTAGATATTTTGAACTTAATTGATTAATTTCTTTGCATTGCACAGGTACTGGTCATCTACGGTTGCTCATTTGATCAGCATAAATAACTAAATAAACTTTAAAAATTAAGTTTCAATCAATATTCGACTAGCGGAATTGATTAAATTTTTAATTTGCCACTGTTCTAATTCATTCTTACAATTGAAATTAATTTTTATTTCAAATTTAAGTGTCAAATTTTATGAAAATTCATTAATTTATTAGAATTTTGCATATTAATCTACAAAATAAATTTCAGTAATGTCAAAAATTTATTTTAATTAAAAATTAAAATAATGACAAATATCAATTCATTAAAAAATAGGCATTTTGAACTTAATTGATTAATTTATAAGAGTTGCATAGGTACTAGTCATTTACGGTTGGTCATTTAACCATTTAAATAATAAACTAAACTTTAATGTTTAAGTTGTAAAAAGTTTTTGAGTAGCAAAGTTAATTAAATTTCTAATTTCTTAATGAGTAAATAGATCAATTAATCTTATGAATTTCAGTGGAATGCACGGGTAGTTGTAGTAGTAGGCAATGTAATGGGGTTAAGCTATTGTAGGGTTAGGGTTCAATTTTATAGCTCTGTCACTTTTAGTAATAGGTAGAATTGTGGGTTCCAGCTTTGCTAGCGCTTGTAGCTATAGGATTACTGCTATCGCAATGACATTAACGAAAAAAAGGGAAGGAAAGACTTAAATAATAGCAGCGGCAGCAGCAGTACTGATGATCTCTATGTCATCAGCAAGTGTTGCTATGAGTTTGTCTTGTTGCAACCGCAAGTGCTGCTATTCTTCTTGGTGTATTTGCAACTTGGTGGGAAATAACAGTGGTAGATTATTACTCAAAAGCAATGCTTGAAAAGAATCAAAAGTGGAGAGAGATATGAAGAATTATTTGCCTTCTCAAAGAGTTCAAAAGCCTATATAAAAGGCACGCATATGACATTTGCAGATATTTTCAATCCGCAGGAAATTGCAGATCTAATCAGTTACTTGAGTGTCAAGTAAACGATAGTCAGGTTGCTATACCAAAATAACATGGATTACAGCATTACTTTGCTTGATGAAAACAGTAAGTACATAGCATAGCACATTGCGAGCTACAAAGGAAAAAAAAAAAAAGCTTCCACAGTCTTTTTTGGTGGATTTTCATTCAATATGAACGGAATTAGAACAGCTGCTATTTAAAAATTTTGTCAAGAAACTCATATAGCATTTGTGTTATTTGATTACTTTGGTCATGGTTATTGGTTAGTCAGGTGCTGATTATACTGATTACACGATGAGTGATTGGCAAAAAAGTTGTGTTAGAGTAACTCGTAACGGCAAGCAAATAATTATAGGTTCAAGCATGAGACGGCGCCTGATGTTGCTCACTGCTCTCCAACTTTCAGAAAGAATTGCAGCACTAATTGGTGTATCGTCTGTTTCTGACTTTACTGAAGATTTAATATTCTATCAGTTATCCGAAAGCAAAAAGAAGAATTAGATTCTAAAGGAGTAATAGATTTTACTTCTGAGCATTAAATATACAAAATAACTAAAAGCTTGGTATAGAAGATGAAGATGGCAAAAAAAGCTTCTTTTAAATAAACAGACAATAGATATATAAACTGCCCTGTGCGTTTATTGACGATAATGCTATATTCCTTACCAACTTCGTTAAATTTAGTCAAGAAGTTGAGGTGCATCTGATGAAGACAGTAGTAGGTAGAGCATAACATGTCTGACAATCGTTTATTGGAATTTTCAGATGATTTAGAGAGTTTTTGCTGTGTTTAGGACTACTCATCATTTTGCAAGGGAGATTTCATTTGGGAGAGCGACCAGAACCGAACTAGGCGCACATACCCACTTAGATGGTTTGGGGAGTGAGTTTTTGCTGGCTGATTAAAGACTCATAATAATGCAGAGGAGATTTTAAGTGAGGGCAGCGAGCAGAGCCGAGCTAGCCGCACTCAATGCCACAAGCTGATGCCCTACCAACTGAGCCACACCCACTCGAATTATTCAGGGAGCCTTTGTTGGCTGTGTAATTGCACACTAATTTAGTACTCATCATAAGGCAGGGAACGATCTTCCTGGAGAGAGTGAGCAGAGCCGAACTAGCCGCACTCAGTACCACAAGCTGATGTTCTACCGACTGAGCCACACCCACTCAGATTATTCAGGGAGCCTTTGCTGGCTGTGTAATTGCACACTAATTTAGTACTCATCATAACGCAGTGACGATCTTCTTGAAGAGAGTGAGCAGAGCCGAACTAGCCGCACTCAGTACCACAAGCTGATGCTCTACCGACTGAGCCACACCGACCAAAGCAGTTTGTCTCTCATACATTTAGTACAAAAAGAAAGCAGCAAAAAAAGTCAGTTGATTATTTAAGCAATTGACTATTTACTCCTTTACTTCAGACTATGTTGTTTCCCTGATAAACAGTTGCAGAAGCAATTTCATTATTGAAAAAGCTTCTGGTATTCCTGTGGTTGATCAATGCAAGTTAGTCAGAGTTTTAACTAACAGAGATATAAGGTTTATTGATGGTTAAAAAAATCAGAAAAAAGTATATAAAAGTCCCCGAGGTAATGACGAAAGAGAAGCTAGTTACAATACGGGAGCGCTTCAGCAATGAAACTATTGCATGAGAATAGAATAGAAAAGCTTTTGGTCATAGATGAAAACTCCTACTCTATAGATTTGATCACAGTTAAAGATATTAAGAAATACAATGGATACCCTAATTCATGTAATGATACTTAAGGGTGGCTCAGAGTTGCCGCTGTAGTTGGTACTGGTAAAAAGGATGGTATAGAAAGATGTGAAACTATGGTCAGAGAAGAGATTGACGTAATTAATGTTGATGCAGGTGTTGATGCAATGTAGAATAGAACCTAGATCAACTTGCACAACCAAAGTAGTGGGTGTAGGTGTGCCACAATTTTCTGCAATTCAAAACGTTGCAAAAACATGTAAAGCAAGAAAAGTAAGATTGACTATCAAATTTTAATTTAATTAAGTGTAAAAAATATTAAAAAAATACCAATTCATATTAAAAAAATAGAAAATTAGAAACTAATTTGATATTTTATATGCATAGTGCGGGAATTGGTCACATACATTGTGGTCATTTGACGTCATAAATAACAAAATAGACATTAATAATTTGGTTTTGAACAATATTTCGGTAGCAAAATTAATTAAATTTTTAATTTATCACGGTTTTAAATCATTTCTTACAACTGAAACTAAGTTTTATTTCAATGAAAATCCCACAATTTGTAAGAGTTTTTGCATATTGAACTAGGAAAAAAGTCCTACTATCATCAAATTTTATTTTAATTGAAATCAAAACTATTAAAAAATAGTAATTCATTCAAAAAGATATTTACTTTCAGCTTAATTGAATAATTTTTATGCATTGCATGGGTACTGGTCATGTACATTGTGGTCATTTGACCAGCATAAATAATGAAATAAACATTAATAATTGAGTTTTTTATAAATATTTAACAAGTGAAATTAATAAAATTTTTAATTTGTCCTATATTTAATTCATTTCTGCAGCTAAAATTAATTTTTATTTCAAATTTAAATATCAAATTTTCTGAAAATTCATTAATTTACTGGAACTTTGTATAATAATCTACAAAAAAAATGGTAGTAAATATCAAAAACTAGTTTTAAATAAATGTTAAAATATTGAAAAATATCAATTCATTAAAAAAAAAAATGGTTATTTTGAAATTAATTGATTAATTTGTGTGCATTGCATAGGTACTGATCGCATGCATTGTGATCATTTGACCAGCAGAAATATTAAAATAAACTTTAATAATTAAGTTTCAATCAATATTTGACTAGCAAAACTATTTAAATTTTTAATTTTTGACGGTTTTAATTCATTCTCACAATTATAATTAATTTTTAGTTCAAATTTAAAATTCAAATTTTGTGAAAATTCATTAATTTATTAGAGTTTTGCATATTAAATTACATAATAAATTCTAGCAATATCAAAAATTTATTTTAATTAATTTTTAATATATATATATATATAAATATAAAAAAATGTCAAGTCACTAAAAAAAGTAGATATTTTGAACTTAACTGAGTAATTTTTATGCATTGCATGAGTACTGGTCACATACATTGTGGTCATTTGACCAGCATAAATATTAAAATAAACTTTAATAATTAAGTTTTAACCAATATTTGATTAGTAAAACTGATTAAATTTTTAATTTGTCACGTTTTCAATTCATTCTAACAATTAAAAATAATTTTTATTTCAAATATAAATATCAAATTTTAAGAAAATCGTATAATTTTTAAAAGTGTTTGTATATTAAACTGTGAAATAAATCCCGGGTTGGTCAAAATTTATTTTAATTAGATGTTAAAATGTTAAAAAATATTAGATCGTTAAAAAAAAAAGATATTTTGAACTTAATTGATTAATTTTTATCCATTGCATGGGTACTGGTCATATACATTGTGGTCATTTGGTCAGCACAAATAATTAAATAAACTTTAATAATTGAGTTCTGAATGATATTTCAGTAGCAAAATTAAATAAATTCACTGTTTTAATTCATTCTTACAATTATAATTTGCGACAACTGCTTACTCCTTATAGGTATTGCGATTTTTAATGTTCACGCTGAGAATAGAAATGATGAGCGGAGGGAAGAAATCGTAAGTTCTCTTAGGCAGTGAGCTTTCTGCTGTGGTAGTAAATTCTATTTCTCTTGTCAGTTGGCTACCATCCGTTTCCCGAAAGAGACAAAAAAAAGAAAAAATTTTTTAGAAGAAAAAAGGCCTTTGTGGACCAGTTTTGATAAAATTCTTTATCTCTACAAATCGTTCACATGAGATTTACAACATAACTGAAAACATCAGAATGGAAAAAGAAACAAAAGCAGCTTTTTCAAAGTTAATCATTCAGACAAGCAAGAGATGTCTTGTCGAGCCAAAACAACAAAAAGTGAGGAGAAGCCTAAAATAAGCTCCAACAAAGCTGGATTCATCGATTTAGCACATCATATCCTATCTTTCGACAGATCCATGTCTTGAGTCCTAAAAATTTTGAAGTGAACTTGTCTAAATTACAGGAAGCAAAGAGCAAACATATCCAACAGCGTAAAGCGTTAGGTCGCAAAAAGTAATATATGTGATGAAACGATCCGGAAAATTTGCACAAAGCTTGGAACAACCGAGAATAAAAGAAAGAAACGAAATTTAAAATCTACGATGCTCTGAATGATGGATGTATTTGTGGAAATTTTTTCGTTGAACAGGTATCGGGAGATTGGCACTTACAAGATTAATTTTTGAATAGAAATAAAAAAATAAATTGAAAATCTCATTCTGATTACAAATCCTTCAGAACGCTTCATTCTTTTCACCGCTATCAATGTGATTAACATGTTTCTTTCTTTCAATAAGTATTTTTTTCAAATAAGAGCAATCAAATAAGTATTACCTGCTCAGAACTTTATCTAATTAATTCCTTCAATTAAGTTTCCTAACGCGACAGAAAGATATGGGAAATCTAAGCTGTGAAATATTTATTTCTTTGGGAATTATTTTCTTGCCAAATCATCTTCTTGACCTGCCAACTCGGTAACTGACCAGTCATCCCACAATCATCAAGCGAATCATCCCACAATTCATAATGCTTAATAATGCGTACTATATGATGTTAAATTTAAGCTAAAATTAGTAAATATGCAAATTTCAGCATCAGTTCGTCTTGGCATGGGCGACTTCATTTTCATTAGTTTGCTGGTAGATAAAAGCCTCCGCGACACGTAGTACAATGTGCGTTGCTGACTCAATGGCTGGCTGGCTGGCATACTCACCCTGGCAGTACTGTCTAGCTACGATGAACCCACTACAGCACTGTCTGTTCCGATCGATTACCATCACTGTACTGCTACATTCCGACATTTATCTGTTCGTCGAACCATTCCATAATCGCATAGTGATGAGCACAAAATTATTTACCTCTAGACAAAACAGAACTGTCTACACCATATGACTTCTCCAGTTGCAGGCAAGTTCATCAGTTCATAAATTTGATACATGCCAAAGATCATAAGGGATCATCTTAGCGACAGCATATTTTGCATTAAAAAACAATACAATGAAATCAACGCTACATTATGAAAGAAATAACGAATAAATAAAAGAAAGTGAATGCATGGCTAAAAAACACCAAAAATATGTCTACAACACCTGGGATTCCCAGGCCGTCTCCGATCCAAGTACTAACCAGGCCCAACGTTGCTTAACTTGACAGATCGGACGAGATGTCGTGCTTTCAACGTGGTATGGTCGTAGACTACTGTTACAAATATGTTGAAGCATAAATCACATCCAATCGATAATAGCACACATTTATTATAGCGATGATTTTTACTTCACTTCAAGCAACATTTGCGCCCAAATTTATTATTCAACAATATTTCAATTGCTAAATTTACATTATCACTGGAACAAAACAGATTGCAAGTAGAGAAAAATTTCGATCTTCATGCATTCAAAGTAAGTAATATAGATTGATGATATATTTTATACAAATGATAAAACCTGAGCAAAATCTCATTCTTGCTAAAAGCATTTATTATTGTCCCACAAATATGCAGGACATTCCAAAATTTTACTTCAAGCCACAGTAGCCTAAACTCTGGGCCGAAACATTCAATTACCTCAAACTTGGGTAATTAAACCGTCGATCATACCTGCATCATTATCATATAGTTGTTGTGTATTCAACATTCAGCTGATTATTTTTCGGCGAACAGATCAAACTGTGATCCATTTTTTATCACTTTCGATAATAGCACACATTTAATTGTAGCGATGATTTTTACTTCACTTCAAGCAACATTTGCGCCCAAATTTATTATTCAACAATATTTCAATTGCTAAATTTACATTATCACTGGAACAAAACAGATTGCAAGTAGAGAAAAATTTCGATCTTCATGCATTCAAAGTAAGTAATATAGATTGATGATATATTTTATACAAATGATAAAACCTGAGCAAAATCTCATTCTTGCTAAAAGCATTTATTATTGTCCCACAAATATGCAGGACGTTCCAAAATTTTACTTCAAGCCACAGTAGCCTAAACTCTGGGCCGAAACATTCAATTACCTCAAACTTGGGTAATATATTGGTTGCTCAATTAAATGGTCTCATTCTACATTCTACAGTTTAATATATATGCCGATTTTACTATATTAAAAAATTTTTGATAAATTTTGTATCGTAATATATAATATTAAAGTTTTAAAGGTTATTGTATCATGGCTTTATCAAAATTTCCTGATCTGAAATTTGACCTGATATTTAAGAAAATCTTTGGCACTGAAAAGAATAAGAAGATTCTTATTCGCTTGCTCAATGATATTTTAGGATTCACTGAAATAAATGCTATACAAGCGGTAGAATTCTTAAGCGCTATAATCGATCCTGATATTACCTCTGACAAACAAAGCATAGTTGATGTTTTCGCAAGGATGCCACTGGAACCAGGTGTATAATTGAAGTTTAGCTCGCTATAAACAAAGACTTTAAGAAACGTGTTCAACTTTATGCTGCTAAGGCTTACTAAGGCAATTAAATAAATCGGTTAAGGCTTGCTCAATTAGACACTGATTTAAAGAAAGTTTTCTTTATTGTAATTTCCAATTGTAACTTACTCTCTAAAAAGGTTGATTGTGTATCTACTCATAATATACATGATACAAAAACCAATGGCTATTACTTGAAAGATTTTCAATTTATTTTTATTGAACTACCTAAATTGTCTAGGAGTAAAGTAGAGCAATTAATAAATATAGTAGAGCATTGACGCTTCTTTTTTAAGAATGCAGAGGATACCACTGAAACAGATGTAAAAGCTAGCATACGATGGGTTAGATGAGTTCCGTTGGAATGAAGAAGATAAAATAGCGTATGAAGAAAGAGGAATCTAATGAATCTACAGAAAGACAAAGCCATCCTTGAATACAGCTACTAAAAAAGGTAGAGGAGAAGGTGTCAAAACCAGCAAAGAGAGAGGCATCAAATTGGAGCAGAGAAAGGTAGAGTGAAGAAAGCTAAAATAGCAGTACCGAAAAATTCACTTAAGGCAGGTATGTCTATAAGTCTTCCAACGTTGAAAAGAGAAATAATAAAATCAAAAGAACTAAACCTAGTAGAAAAAATAAAAATAGAACAAATAATTATGAAATCAATAACTTCAGATGCTAGCAAGGATAGTAATGAAAATCATTCTAATGCAGAAACAAATGAATACTACCGGAATTATTTACCACACCAGGAAGAAGTCTATCGCACACATCAACAACTACCATCGCTGCTGGTTCACCTCCTGAAACAGTATGAGGAGTATGCTCACCCATACCCCCAAATCGACCACATGATGTCGTTACATGAGGAAATCCTACCAACAATAAACTTCCCATTATCAGTTATAAGTCCTCTTGTGCGTTTTCACTCCATTCTATCATTTCGGCATTGCGGGCTGTCTGTAAATCATTCTGCGCCGACTGATTCAACTTATCCTCTTTTACATTTGCTTTTATTTTCCTCACGTGGTTTAATATCTATCTACATGAATATCTTCCATTTCTTCAGAATGCTTATCACAGATAAGCTCCTCCTTCCTTATTCGGCCAATTCGATTGTGCACAGAATTACAGCTATAGTTGGTGATATATTTGTTCAGTAATGTATGGCAGAGAAGGTGCAAAGCAAATAACCGCAAAGTAGTATTCAACACATATGTCAAACTTTGTTTGCCTCTCTGCTTACTTTATCTCCATATGCACTTGTTGTTTGTTGCTAATTCCAAGTGATTGTCACAAAAGTCTTTCCAAAAAAATCCTTCTACTGCACCCAAAGCTTCACAGTATTCAAATTGTAATAAGTTATTCGTTGCTATGACTTTATATAGTTTAGACAGTATCTATTAATCCACTATCTCATCTGGATACCTTTCCATGAATTAGAAACAAACTTGCTGGCATTGAAAAGTTTTGTAACCAAGCACTTGCCAATTTTGAATATGTTTTCAGAGTAGACTGTATCAACTCCAAGCCTTCAGTCTGCTGTCCAATAACGCACTACATCTGCACCGTATGTATCAAGTATCGATTTTGGAGTTATTATATTACCTTTGATTCACTCCTTCCTCTGCACAATCATCATTCAAACAACCCTCAAAGAAAGTTCCTTTCTCCATATTGAAATAATTTGGAGATATTTCAGAAAAAGACAAAAAATTGCTTATTTTCTCCATATTCAATAAACACAGCTTGCAAAAAAGACTGTACACGTTTTGCACAAGCAATATTCAGCTGGGTAGAGCGTTGCCCTTCAGAGGTAGGAGATGTCGGCAAGGGTGCAGCAGGAGAGTCATCGATGGAGGAGCATGTGGCAGGGATGGGTAATGGCACTGCAACAGGCGCAGCGCTCGGTAATTGCAAGAGCAGCAAGAGAGGCAAGAGCTGGAGCGTCAAAGAGTGATGCAAGCTCACTTAGCTTATTCTGGGCAAAACATGCACAATTGCGCACTTTCTTCCCAAGTGACGTCATGACAATAAGTAGGTAGCATTGGTATTATTAATTACAGTAGCAGCAGCCCAGAGGTACCAGTAACAGTGCTGAGCTGAGATGACATCTTGAACACTTGTATTCTCAAAGAAACTTGGTTGCAAATCAGTAATATTACCATATAAGTCACATCTATTTTTGCAATAACTTTCTCACTGCCAATCCCAATGAAATACAATCTAATAAATGCACTGAGAGAAATGGCTAAAACTATGAATATAGTAACTAATAGCTTAGCGGTGAAGTTGTGCTCTGCACCATAATGGATTATGTTACTCAAGCCTCTGCCAACAAGGAGAATCGTTAAAGCTGAAGATATAAGTGATGAAATAATGCAGATTAGGTTTTATGTAATGAAATAATTGCCTGGTATTAGATCGCATCTTATTTTGAAGTTTCTAAAGTTAAGTTATGGATTTTGACTTCAGGAGAAAGAGGAAAGGCATAGTATAAAGGAACTAGTCTATAGCGTGTCTTTTAAAAGAATTACGCTCACGAAGATTTAATATGATAGTCTGATTTCTACTAAGGACAGCATTATGCCAAGTGCAATGCTCGAAGATAAAAAAGAGGAGCCGCCGTAGCTAATCAGTGGCAAAGTTATGCTAAGTGGTTAGAACAATGTTCTACGTTACCCTTATGTTTATGAGATATCCAAAATTAGCAGCAGATTAAAGGCAAAAGAATTCCATATAGAAATTGTTCACTCTCTAATCCTGTAAATTGCCGCTGCGTTTCGATTTGTAGAGGTAAAAATCTGAAATCTAGGTAAGATTTATAAAGGCATGAGGTGTAAATAGTGCAAAAGGTAAAAAATACGAAGCCATCCCTGTTATACGCTTAATCTGTACAGATTGAGAATAAATAAACAACTTCAATCTCATGATAAAGGATTGGCAAGGTTTATCAAGTTGTACAGCTTTTAGTCGTAACACAGCTTGATATTATACATTAAGGTAGCAAAGCATCAGAAGAAATGCTGTTTTTATACTGTACAAGAGAGGACAGTAGAAAATTGGCATCTACTGGGGGGCAATTTTGTAAGAGAGTTTCTAAGATCTATAGAGCTATAAAATGGTAATGTAAGGCTGTTAAATGCGTCTCAAGCCAATTATCTATACTTTTTTCGAAATTTCGATGAATTATATTTTGCATCTACACTTTAAATGTTATAAGGAAGCTTAAAATTATAAGTTAAAAAATATAGTTGAATATTTGCAAAAAATAGTGTATTACTATTAAGTTAATTTCTTATGGCTTTTTCTAAATTCCTTACCAAAACTGGACCTGACTTTCAAAAAGATCTTTGGCACGAAAGAAGTAAGAATATTCTTACCCATTTTTGAGCGAAGTTTTAGGGTATACTGAAGTTAATACTATGCAAAAAATAGAATTCATCAGCGTCATTATGAATTCTGAATTTGCTTCTGAGAAACAAAGCATGGTTGATGTTCTCTCAACGATTCTGTTGGTAATAAGTTTGTGGTTGAAATGGAGCTCACTCGTGACAAGGACTTTGAAAAATGTGCTCAATATTACACTGCCAAAGCTTCTCAAGGCTATCTGGTGGATTTACAAAAGATTTTCTTTATTATAATATCAAACTGCACTTTATTTCCCGATGAGTGAGTCAATTATATATCTAGCTATACCATAAGAGACGATGAAACTAGTGAGCATGATTTACAAGATTTCCAATTCGTGTTCATTGAACTATCTAAATTTCCTAAAAGTAAAGTAGACTAATTAACAAGCATAGTAGAACGCTGGTGTTTCTTTCTTTAAGTATGCAGAAGAAATAACAGATAAAAACTCAAAAAAGATAGCAGGAGAAGTATTAATCATAAATTAAGCATATGATGAGTTAAACAAGTTTCATTGGGATGAAAAGTACCTAACAGCGTATGAAGAAAGAATAATGAATCTGTACAGAGAGGAAGCTATCCTTGAACAGAAACTTGCAAGGTATGGAAGAAGGAAAAATTGAAGTGGCAAAGACAAAGGCTGGCTGATAGTGTTGACACCAATACTATTGTCAAGTTTACTGGTCTTTCCATCAGTGAAAATGAAAATATTGCAGGATTAGAAGACGCTCATCAGTTAACCCAACGCGGGACGCGGACAGAATGACAGAATGCTATCAAGTGTACGGTTATACAAGGAACCTAATAATAATTGGTAGAGTCCCTCAGTTTTTCAAAAAAATTGTTTTGAGAAAAAAACAAAAAAGCGCACTCAATTTCTGATACCCCGTCATAAACTTCAGGTATGTGGTTGCAAAACTGAAATATTTTAGCACCATTTTCAATTTCTCCACCTTTTGAATTATAGGCTCTAGAGTACAATCGTCTAACCCTTAAAGGAAATAGGAAATTTTATGAAAAAACAATAATTTATTAGAATTTTGCATGTTAAACTATGAAAAAAATTCTAATAATAACAAAGATTTATTTTAATTAAATGATAAAATATTGAAAAATTTCAACTCCTTAAAACAAATAGATATTTTGAACTTAATTGATTAATTTATATGCATTGCACGGATACTGGTCACACACACCATGGTCATTTGACAAGCAAAAATAATAAAATAAACTTTAGAAATTAAGTTTTAATCAATATTTTATTAGCAAAATTAATTAAATTTTTAATTTTTCACGATTTTAATTCATTCTTACGATTAAAATTAATTTATATTTCAAATTTAAATAATACATTTATAAAAATCCCATAATTTGTACGGGTGTTTTGCATACTAAACTAGGTAAGAAGTCCTACTATTATCAAAATTTAATTTCAAAGGATGTTAAAAGTATTAAAAAATATCATTTAATAAAAAAAAAAAATTGATTATTACATACGCATAGTGCGGGAACTGGTCACATACATTGTTGTCATTTGACATCTTAAATAATAAAATAATGCTTAGGCTTAGGCTTAGGGTATACTTAGGCTTAGGCTTAAGCATTATTTCAAATCTAAAAATCAATTTTGGTGAAAATTTTATAATTTGCAAGAGTTTTTGTATATTAAACGGGAAAATAATTTCTAGTTTTCTCAATTTTGATTTTAATTAAATGTTGAAACTATTAAAAAATAGCAATTCATTAAAAAAAGTTAGATATTTCGAACTTAATTGATTAATTTGTGTGCATTTCATAGGTACTGGTCATTTACGGTGTGGTCAATTGACAACATAAATAAGAAAATAAACTTTAATAACTATGTCTTTTTTAATATTCGAGAAGTGATATTAATAAGATTTTTAATTTGTCGTAGATTTAATTCATTTCTGCAGCTAAAATTAATTTTTGTTTGAAAGCTTAAGATAGAATTTTATGAAAGTTTTATGATTTGCAATGAATCAAAACCTTTTTTGTATATTAGACTTTTTTCTATAATTTCTAGTAATATCAAATTTTACTTTAATTAAATGTTAAAACTGTTAAAAAATATATTATTCATTAAAAAAAGTTAGATATTTTGAGCTTAATTGATTAATTTGTATGCATTGCACAGGTACTGGTCATCTACGGTTGCTCATTTGATCAGCATAAATAACTAAATAAACTTTAAAAATTAAGTTTCAATCAATATTCGACTAGCGAAATTGATTAAATTTTTAATTTATCACGGTTTTAATTCATCCTTACAATTCAAATTAATTTTTATTTCAAATTTAAATATCAAATTCTGTGAAAATTTAATGATTTATTAGAGTTTTGTATATTAAAAAGTAAAATGAATCCCTGTGTTGTCAAAATTTATTTTAATTAAATGTTAAAATATTATAAATATCAATTGTTTAAAAAAAAAAAAAATAGATAATTTGAGCTTAACTGATTAATTTATAAGCGTTCCATAGTACTAGTTATTTACGGTGTGGTCATTTGACAAACATTAATAATAAAATAAACTTTAATAATTAAGTTTTAATTAATATTTGATAGGCAAAATTAACTAAAATTTTTAATTTATCACGGTTTTGATTCATTCTTACAATTGAAATCAATTCTTATTTCAAATTTTATGAAAATTCAATAATTTGTTAGGATTTTGTATATTAAACTATAAAATAAATTCTAGCAATATCAAAGAATCATTTTGATTAAATGTTGAAATATTAAAAAAAATCGAATCATTTAAAAAATTAGATAATTTGAACTTAATTGATTAATTTGTTTGCATTGTACAGGTACTGGTCACATACATTGTGGTCATTTGATCAGCATAAATAATTAAATAAACTTTAAGAATTGAGTTTTGAATTAAAATTTCACTCGTGAAAATAATAAAATTTTTAATTAGTCATAGATCTAATTCATTTTTACAATTAATGCTAATTTTTAATTTAAATTTAAAATTGATTTTTATGAAAATCCTATAATTTGTAAGAATTTTTGCATAATAAACTGGAAAATAAACCCTGTTATTATCAAATTTAATCTTAATTAAATGTTAAAATATTAAATAATATCAAATCATTAAAATGTTAAGATATTAAATAATATCAAATCATCAAAAACTAATTTTAATTAAATTTAAAGTATTAAAAAATCTCAAATCATTAAAGAAATAGATATTTTGTACTTAATTGATTGAATTTTATGCGTTGCAAGGTACTGGTCACACACACCGTGGTCATTTGACAAGCAAAAATAATAAAATAAACTTTAGAAATTAAGTTTTAATCAATATTTTATTAGCAAAATTAATTAAATTTTTAATTTTTCACGATTTTAATTCATTCTTACGATTAAAATTAATTTATATTTCAAATTTAAATAATACATTTATAAAAATCCCATAATTTGTACGGGTGTTTTGCATACTAAACTAGGTAAGAAGTCCTACTATTATCAAAATTTAATTTCAAAGGATGTTAAAAGTATTAAAAAATATCATTTAATAAAAAAAAAAAAATTGATTATTACATACGCATAGTGCGGGAACTGGTCACATACATTGTTGTCATTTGACATCTTAAATAATAAAATAATGCTTAGGCTTAGGCTTAGGGTATACTTAGGCTTAGGCTTAAGCATTATTTCAAATCTAAAAATCAATTTTGGTGAAAATTTTATAATTTGCAAGAGTTTTTGTATATTAAACGGGAAAATAATTTCTAGTTTTCTCAATTTTGATTTTAATTAAATGTTGAAACTATTAAAAAATAGCAATTCATTAAAAAAAGTTAGATATTTCGAACTTAATTGATTAATTTGTGTGCATTTCATAGGTACTGGTCATTTACGGTGTGGTCAATTGACAACATAAATAAGAAAATAAACTTTAATAACTATGTCTTTTTTAATATTCGAGAAGTGATATTAATAAGATTTTTAATTTGTCGTAGATTTAATTCATTTCTGCAGCTAAAATTAATTTTTGTTTGAAAGCTTAAGATAGAATTTTATGAAAGTTTTATGATTTGCAATGAATCAAAACCTTTTTTGTATATTAGACTTTTTTCTATAATTTCTAGTAATATCAAATTTTACTTTAATTAAATGTTAAAACTGTTAAAAAATATATTATTCATTAAAAAAAGTTAGATATTTTGAGCTTAATTGATTAATTTGTATGCATTGCACAGGTACTGGTCATCTACGGTTGCTCATTTGATCAGCATAAATAACTAAATAAACTTTAAAAATTAAGTTTCAATCAATATTCGACTAGCGAAATTGATTAAATTTTTAATTTATCACGGTTTTAATTCATCCTTACAATTCAAATTAATTTTTATTTCAAATTTAAATATCAAATTCTGTGAAAATTTAATGATTTATTAGAGTTTTGTATATTAAAAAGTAAAATGAATCCCTGTGTTGTCAAAATTTATTTTAATTAAATGTTAAAATATTATAAATATCAATTGTTTAAAAAAAAAAAAAAATAGATAATTTGAGCTTAACTGATTAATTTATAAGCGTTCCATAGTACTAGTTATTTACGGTGTGGTCATTTGACAAACATTAATAATAAAATAAACTTTAATAATTAAGTTTTAATTAATAATTGATAGGCAAAATTAACTAAAATTTTTAATTTATCACGGTTTTGATTCATTCTTACAATTGAAATCAATTCTTATTTCAAATTTTATGAAAATTCAATAATTTGTTAGGATTTTGTATATTAAACTATAAAATAAATTCTAGCAATATCAAAGAATCATTTTGATTAAATGTTGAAATATTAAAAAAAATCGAATCATTTAAAAAATTAGATAATTTGAACTTAATTGATTAATTTGTTTGCATTGTACAGGTACTGGTCACATACATTGTGGTCATTTGATCAGCATAAATAATTAAATAAACTTTAAGAATTGAGTTTTGAATTAAAATTTCACTCGTGAAAATAATAAAATTTTTAATTAGTCATAGATCTAATTCATTTTTACAATTAATGCTAATTTTTAATTTAAATTTAAAATTGATTTTTATGAAAATCCTATAATTTGTAAGAATTTTTGCATAATAAACTGGAAAATAAACCCTGTTATTATCAAATTTAATCTTAATTAAATGTTAAAATATTAAATAATATCAAATCATTAAAATGTTAAGATATTAAATAATATCAAATCATCAAAAACTAATTTTAATTAAATTTAAAGTATTAAAAAATCTCAAATCATTAAAGAAATAGATATTTTGTACTTAATTGATTGAATTTTATGCGTTGCAAGGTACTGGTCACACACACCGTGGTCATTTGACAAGCAAAAATAATAAAATAAACTTTAGAAATTAAGTTTTAATCAATATTTTATTAGCAAAATTAATTAAATTTTTAATTTTTCACGATTTTAATTCATTCTTACGATTAAAATTAATTTATATTTCAAATTTAAATAATACATTTATAAAAATCCCATAATTTGTACGGGTGTTTTGCATACTAAACTAGGTAAGAAGTCCTACTATTATCAAAATTTAATTTCAAAGGATGTTAAAAGTATTAAAAAATATCATTTAATAAAAAAAAAAAATTGATTATTACATACGCATAGTGCGGGAACTGGTCACATACATTGTTGTCATTTGACATCTTAAATAATAAAATAATGCTTAGGCTTAGGCTTAGGGTATACTTAGGCTTAGGCTTAAGCATTATTTCAAATCTAAAAATCAATTTTGGTGAAAATTTTATAATTTGCAAGAGTTTTTGTATATTAAACGGGAAAATAATTTCTAGTTTTCTCAATTTTGATTTTAATTAAATGTTGAAACTATTAAAAAATAGCAATTCATTAAAAAAAGTTAGATATTTCGAACTTAATTGATTAATTTGTGTGCATTTCATAGGTACTGGTCATTTACGGTGTGGTCAATTGACAACATAAATA